TAATCCAGGAGCTTTTCAGGTCGCTAGTTACTTACCAACTTATCGTCAAAATTACCGTGTTATGATTTAAGTCTATAGGCATCAAACATGGCTACATTTTTAACTAAAGAGTCAGGATTTCCCAAAATATTTTTGAGCCATTATTATAAAGAATGTAAAAACTACCGCCAATATTTCGTTAGGGTTAGCTTTGCATGAGCCCAACAGTCAAAATTGTATTGAATTATACTAAGTGACATATAAATCCGAACACCCAGTTTAAATGGTTTTATTTTAATAAAAGTTGGTGAATGTATTTATCTTACTGTAAATAACAAGTGAATAAAAATTTTCAGCCTTACCAGTTGGACATTCCGGTTTTTATACTGCTTTTTTTTAATTCACTAACGCTCTAAAAATGAATATTTCAGCCGCAGTAAAGAATCAACTTTAGCGGATTTGGGTTCTTGACATCCTTTACGATCGGTTACGATGCCTAGAGTACGGAGACCTGTACGATTTCGTCAACTTAGTGAGTTTGATAGGGGCCGTATAGTGGGACTTCGGGAAGCTGGACTTTCTTTTCGGGCAATTGCAGTTAGAGTGCAAAGAAGTGTAGACACTATGGTTAGGCGTTGTCAGGCATGGCTTCGAGAAGGCCGTACGCAAAGAGCAAGGGGCACTGGACGCCGCCGTAGAACAACAGACCGTGAAGATCGCCGCCTAAGATTATTGGCCTTAGGGGACCGTTTTGTCCACTACCAGGTCCATTGCAAATGAATGGTTTGCAGAACACGGAAGACCTATTGGCATGCGAAGTGTTTACCGACGAATGAGAACTTTTGGCTTGTTTTCATACCGGCCACACTGGGTCCTCCCTTTAACTCGAGAACACCGACGTAATCGCCTTGAGTGGTGCGGACAACGGTCACTCTGGGATCAGGAATGGAACAGTATTGTCTTTAGTGACGAGTCTCGATTTTGTTTAGGCATGCACGATGGTCGTGCCAGGGTTAGAAGGCGACGTGGTGAAAGGAGGAATCCACAGTTTTTTGTTGAAAGACATCTTCATCACACTGTTGGAGTTATGGTTTGGGGTGCTATAGCTTATGGTTCCAGGTCACCTTTAATCTTACCCTATCTTGACACCCTGGCAGATCCAACTTTCCAACAAGATAATGCCCGACCACATGTTGCAAGAGTCACAATAGACTTCTTTCAACATAATGATGTCACATTGTTACCATGGCCACCAAGATCTCCCGACTTATCCCCAATTGAGCACGTGTGGGATATGATGGGTAGGAGATTGCTCAATTTGCAACGTCCTCCTCAGACTCTAGAAGCACTTCGAGAGGAGTTGGTGGTTGCTTGGAATGAGATACCACAGGAGGACATTGACCACCTGATCAGAAGCATGCCTAGGCGCGTTGGAGAACGCGTAGCACATCAGGGTGCATCCACACATTGTTAAAGGTCAAAGGGCTTTAAAGCAGTGCAATCATTTGGAAATTTTTATCATTTACTTATTATGCTTCATTAAGTACTTATACAAAATTTTATTAAAATAAAACCATTTAAACTGGGTGTTCGGATTTATATGTCACTTAGTATATATGCAATCCCTAAGAAATTTTATTAAAATAAAACCATTTAAACTGGGTGTTCGGATTTATATCTCACTTAGTATATATGCAATCCCTAAGTATGACTCTTATGGCACATTTTTTCAACTTTTTTGCTGTTTCAATTAAGAATAGAAATAATATAACAAAGCATGTGGCTTTTTTTAAACTTAGGGCCGTATAGTCAGTCGTTCCTACAATTGTAGGACGCCTTTATGGCGTCCTTGATTTTCGTAGTCTTTTCTATTTCTAGGTTTCTACCATTCCGTGTCAGCGTCAGCGCTCTCCTATTGTGAAGTTGTTTTCTTTTTGAATCGTAGAAAATTTCGGGCTGATATAACAGATGATATAAATCAAAAGCATGAACAATTTAATGCAGTTATTTGTAACATAACCTCAAAATAGAGCGCCGATACCGAACAGTAGAAAACTATGAAAATCAAGGAGGCCATAAAGGCGTCCTACAATTATTATAGGAACGACTGACTATACGGCCCCAAGTCGTTTGTGACTTATTTCCCTCCATATACATATGTATGTCCGCAAGTCGTGGGATTAATTTGAATATGATTTGTTCTAGAACTGGACGATGGGGCATACAATCCTTTATGGACTATGCAAGGATTTACGCAAACTTTCCATTTTTGGAAAGAGAACAAAAGGGCCCAATCGGTACCGTTGAATGCCTTTCTTACTTATGTCACACTGCCTTGGTGGAGTATTGCAAAAGGTAATGTATAATTTCAGCATATGTAAAACGTCAAACTTTGCCTTTAAATAAGTTGCAGTTTAAAAAACAGAAAAATACGATTTACGAGGGTGGTCCCAGAAGTGCCCGGCCTGACTTAGAGATGACGATAGTTGTTTGAAAAGTATCATCAAAGCGGTACTGAATGATCGTCGACTGAAAGTGCGCGAGCTAGCAGACATAGGCATTTCGAAAAGTGCGGTTCATCGCATATTATGTGAAAATTTGGTCATCAGAACGCTGTGTGCAAGATGGGTGCCGTGATTGCTCACAATCGATCAAAAACAGTGTCGTTAAGATGTTTCAATTGAGTGTTTAGCGAAGTTTCACAGCAACAAAGCAGAATTTTTGCGTCGTTTCATAACCATGGATGAAACATGGGTCCATCACTCCACACCCGAGACAAAAGAACAATCAAAACAATGGACTCAAAAGGGACAACCAGCTCCAAAGAAGGCGAAGAGCGTTTCATCTGCAGGCAAAGTTATGGCGTCGGTTTTTTGGGATTCGCGTGGGATTATTTTTCATTGACAATCTTGAAAAATATAAAACTATCAATGGCGAGTATTATGCGAACTTATTGCAACGTTTGAGCGATGAAATCAAGCAAAAACAGCCGCATTTGGTTAAGAAGAAAGTGTTGCTTTAGCAAGACAATGCACCAGCCCACAAACTTGAAAAAATGGCTCAGTGGTCAAAGATTCTCCAACCATGAAGAAGTGATGTCGGCAGTAAGTGGCTATTTTGAGGAGCAAGACAGTTCTTATTATAAAAAGAGTATCGAACTTATTGAACATCGCTAGGAAAAGTGTATAGAGCTCAAAGCAGATTATGTTGAAAAATAAATCCATTTTTTTACAAAATTTTTGTGTTTTCTTCGTTGGGGCGGGTACTTCTGGGACCACCCTCGTAAACTAGAAAGTAGAAAATAATTTTCAAGTATTTGAGAATTTGTGTTACTGCAATAGAAAGCCCAACAATCAATTATGACTGATTAATTTGGAATAAGATCAACAGGAAAATTAGGATATTAACAGACAATTCAATTATAGTAAAAAAGCGTGATGTGGCTTGATATTAAATGTTTTAGTTATTTTTTTAGTTGCTATTTACAAAATTGGATTTATTATGAAAGTGCACCCCACGATTATGTACTATGCTAGATTTTTTTGTTAATATCTTAATTTTTGCTATTGCAGTAACACAAACTCTCATATACTTGAAAATTATTTCACACGTAGTTAGATTTGCTATTAAAACTCGTTTTTTATATATAATTTATTTCCTGATTCTGATTTTAGTCTCAAAACCACAACAAAAGTACTTATAAGAAGAACCTCGATTTTTCATATATTCTATATTTGACAATAAATCTAAATTTACTTCAAATTTTTATCAAATTTTGAAATTTCCAATTTTTTTTTAATTATGAAACCATTTTTTTGCAAATTTGAAAATTCAATTTTTTGAAAATTTCCTAATTGAAATTTAAAAAAAATCTAATTCGATTGTTTTTCCAAAATTATTGTATTGTCAAAGGCCCTTGACCTCTGTGTAAATTTTCAAGTTGATCAAATGTCTTGAAATTGGAAATTAGGTTAAAATATTACATACAAATATATGGGGTTGTCCAAAAGGGACGCAGGAAAGTAAACGCATATTAAAACAAGAAAGATTGATATTCAAATCAAGTTGAGTACTTTATTTTGAAGGTTCATTTATACCATTTATGTATGAAAAATAATATTGCTCAAATGTTGGCATGATGGCAATGATGTTGTTTTTCAGTTCTTGGAGGGTGGCTGGTTTGTTGACGTAGACTTTGCTTTTCAAATATCCCCATAAAAAGAAATCCAAGGGAGTCAAATCGCACGATCTTGGTGGCCATGGCACATTTCCTCTGCGCGAAATCACGCGATCACCGAAGAAGGACTGCAATCGATGGATATTGACGTTGGTTGTGTGGCATGTTGCACCGACTTGTTGGAAATAAACATGGTCCATATCCATTCCTTCAAGTTGCGGCAAAAAATAGTCCTCTATCATCACGTGATATCGCTCAGAATTGACGGTAACGGCGTCCCCGGCCGCATTTTCGAAAAAGTAAGGTCCGATGATGCCTTTTGACCACAATGCACAACAATATTTTCCAGTGTGCGAACGCTCCTTGGCCGGCCAGAGCCTGGCAGATTTGCCACAGAACCTGTTGCCTCGAATTTACGCACCAGACGACGATGGTTGTTTCGTTTGGGCGGTTGTTGCGACCGAAATGTTCACGAAGCGCGCGAAACGTGTTTTTTATTTTTGCACCATTTTTGTAGTGCTCTTGAATAACTTTAATGCGGTCTTCAATCGAATACGACTCCATAGCGATCAATGGTAAACATTCAACTAACAAAATGACATGTCGGTGACAGAAAACAAAGATGGCGTCTATGTCAAATTGACGTTTACTTTCCTGCGTTGGACAACCCTTTACAAATCAAGCAAAAAAAGCGTGTTAAAAATTCAGTTAATGGGATGCTTGATGTTAAATGTGAGAGTTATTTTTTTAGATGATATTCCTAATTAATTATTCATCCTTGATTGTTGGAATTTCTATCGCAGTGAGACAAACTTTCCTATTGAAAATTGTTTTCTAATTTTAAGTTAGATTTGCTATTAAAGCGTTTTTAAGCTATAACTTATTCTGTGAATTTTTGGTCTCAAAATCACAAAGTCCTTATAATCAAGAGCTTCGATTTTTGGTATATTTTATATTTGACAAATTTAAATTTCCAGATTTTTTTTCAAATTATTATCCAAATTTTCAAAACTAAGTTTTTTTCCTCTCAAATTTGTTGAAAATTTTCAGATTTGATTTTTTCCACAAGATTATTGTACTGCCCTTGATACCTGTGGAAATTTTCAAATTAATCAGGCTTCTTCTAGTTGGTGTAAATTAGGCTGAAAGATTCCTTTACATACATACAGGTCAAGCTAATAAAAAAATGTTAAAAAGACGCTCGAGAAAAACGTGACAGTGATTTTTACAAGATTGTGCAACTGCGACAATTTCAATCACTGATACATTTTGTTTTTCATATAGATATCCTTGATCATCGTGAGGGGCCTATACTAACCTTCTAACGACAGAAGAGGAATTGATGATATTCAAACAAACCCGTAAGCGCAAAAGTATTCCATATTTGAAACGAAAATTGTTGATATTATTTTAAATATTAATAAAAATCATTTATATACTTTGCGTCTTATTTATTTCTCACTTTAATGCATATAAACAAAAAGTTAAATTCTTGGAATGCCAAAATACTGAAGTAATTTGGAAACAAAACAAAATAAATAGTAAAGCCGTGAATTGAAGTATTCACATAAGAACCTTATAAATATGGTATTCATAGAAAAATAACAACTTCCTTATTTGGAGATTCTGGTAACAATATTAGAAAATAAAAATAGTTTCACATATAATAAAAAATAATTTAAACGAGTGACTTATTAATCAACAGAAAAAACAAGAGATAACAGAACTGATGAGTTTAACATAAAAAAATCACTTAATTCCAAACAGAAGTAATAGATCAGGCTGGATTGAATTTGCAAAATGTGAACGGATTTAAACCACAAAAATGATGATTTTTAACCGAATTTTTAATCGTTGGAGATTCCATTTTTAGATTTTTTTACACTTCGAAACCGACTAACTCCAGAGAAAAGTTGCTAAGGACCTTTGTTCAGAAATCAGAAAAAAAAATGGTCGGAGAGAAACATCATCTTTTGGAATTACTCAAAGGGGGAATTGAAAATGTGGACCAGCAAGATCCGGATTATTCTTTGACCTCAGTTGATATCTTTTCATAAAGTGTGGTCCTCACGTTTTGCAAATTCCTACACATAAGAGTTACTTCAGTTTGTTAGGAATTATTACATTGTATCATAACTATTCGAGTGGTTCAGGTTACAATTGTTTCTCCAGATCTGAAAGTAACAAGCAAATCAAAAAATAACCTACAATATACGCCTCTCGACCGTTGAGAAGCCACTACGGTTCCTTTTAACTTCCCAGTAACCGTCGGTATCCAAAGACCTGGTAAGTCCGGATAAGAATTCCTCGTTATGAGTAAGCACCAACAATTGGAAGTTTTTTGCCAGCACCAAATTAGATAATGTATCGCTCAAACTGATGATGTTCTTTTTATCTAAGTAAGTGGTCGGTTCATCTAACGCCAAAATCCTGCAGTGAGAACTGAAAGCCTCGGCCAAGGCTATCCTGATAATGAGACACGCTAAGGCTTTTTGCCCCGCGCTACATCTTCCTCTCATTTCTAATTCTATCGTGTTCTCAACTTGAACCACCTTGTAGTTATACGTCCTTCTCTTATTTAACCCACCACCTTGCATGTCCTCGTTTGTTTGGATCTCAATATAGTCTATGTCGTTCCCTTTGTATGTTTCTCTCCACAGTTCTTTGATGATCCTATTTATATGAACCATGCGGTCTTCAAGGAATTTCAACACACATTTCTCCAAAACGTTTATATACGTACCCAGATCTTCGACCATATGCTCTTCAACTACTAGTTCGTGGTACTGCTTCAGGTAATTCTTATATGCGTCTTTTTTTTCTGGTTTTTTTAAATCAACTTGGAACTCTTTAATCGCTCTTTCAACTTCTTCTTGTTTTCCTGTCAAAGTATTGATTTCCCTGTGGGCCTTTTCAAGCTTCTTGTCAATCTCTATCTTTTCAGTCCTCAGAGATCTATAGTTGAATCCTTTGATGTTATTCTCGAGATCTCTTATTTCGTCAATGAGCTTTTTTTCGGATACTTTCAGTTCCCTTAATGTGACATTATCAGTCAAGTTTCTATATTCGGTTTCTTTCTTAGCCAGGTTTTGTTTCGTTGTCGAGATAGAATCGATTATAGCATTCTTTTGGTCATCTAAATCTTTTTCTTTTATTTTCAACTTAGCCAGTTTTTCAACTGTCAGATCTAACTCTCCTTCAGTGTTATTCCTAACATACGTTTCTATAGCGTTGTACAACTTTTTAATGTCTGCTAAAAGTGTTTTGTTAGCATTGATTTTCAAGTTTTCCTCGTTTTTCAACTTGTTATTCTTCTTCACCACCGACTGTCTCTCCTCAATAGCTGTGTTGAGTTGCTTATTACACTCTCTTACTTGATCTTCAAGCTCTTCTAATTCGGACTTTAAAGCTGACAATTTTTCCTCAAACTCTTTAAGCTGTGTCTCCAACATGGGCCTTTCTTGTAGCAACTTTTGTATATCCAACTGCTTTTTAGTTTCCTTTTGAATTTGATCATTTAGTTGCTGACAGCGTTCTCGGTGTTGATCCAACATTTTCTTACAAGACTCGTATTGGTGCTTCAAATTGCTGAGCTCAGCTTTTCCAGCATCAATTTCAGCTTCAGCTTCCTCTCGAGATCTTTCTGATGGCACTGTCACTATTTGTGATCGATACTTTTCTATATTTTCCTTGGAGCTCTTGATCTCATCAATGTACCTATCCAGAAGCGTTGCATCACTTATAACATTTTTACAGACTTCAACTTTCTTTTGAGGGAGTTCTAGTTGAGCCTTATCCGAAGCAAGTTCCATTTGCTTCTCGTTGTACTCCTCCTCGAGCTTTTTAACTTCCTCTTCTAGCTCAGGTATCTTTCTGTTAGTCAACGTCTCGATTTCTTCGCTAATAGGTTTGAGTTTACACTTCGCTTCTTCTTCATTTTGAATTCGTTGAACAGACCATTTGAAATTGCTGCCAGGGGTATCATCATCAAATAATAGTTTAAAATTCGAAGCATGTTTTGATTTGATCTTGTTAATTTCCATTTCTTTCTCAGCAACTGCTGCGATTTTGCGTTCAAGCTTCTGCTCATGGCGGTAGTTTTGTTGAAGAATTCTATGTTCTCGTTCCAGCTTTTCAAGAGACTGTTCTTTAGCATCTATAGCTCCCTTGAGCTTATCTATCTCAATATTTTTATCCCGCTCACTAAAACTGCTTTTTAAAGATGATAAAGTGGTTTGTAATTTTTCGATTTTGTCACCAACTATTTTTAGTTGCGAATCAGATGAACGTAGTTGGTCTAATTGATATCTGATGTCTCTAGCTTGTCCACCATATTCCCTCACCAATACTTTCTTTGACTTTCTTATTTGTCTAACGCTACCAAATTTTTCTCTAGCCGTGTCAAGTTGGTTTTGTAATTCATTTTCTTCTTCTTCCTTATCTCTGACGAGTTTCGCGTATTCCACCTCTAGTTTTTGTATCGCACTCTCAAGTTCATCAGCAATTTCTTCAGTACTCTCCCAGTCAAAATTTCTGTTAATGTCTAGTTTATTTCTCAACTTTTCCACTAGTACTTTAACTTTCTGTTGTTTGTTGCTATGCTGCTTTTGCTTTTCCTTCAGTTCCCCTATCTTCATTTGGATTTTCTGTATAGCTACACCGACAGTGTTATTTTCGGCAATAATTTCTTTATTTTTCTGTTCTAATTGTTTAATATTATCCTCTTCAACTTGCTGTAACTGCTTAAAGGACTTAATTCGGTTTTGTAGATCATCGTCTGTTCCTTCAAACACAAGTGTTATTTTCTTCAATAAGATCCCCTGCTGGCCTTGTAACCCTGAAAAGGTACATTAATATACTCAGTGACAGAAGTGTTACACCCAAAAAAAAAATAATTTCTTCAACTTGATTTTTTGGCAATGAGGTAGTGTTACATCAAGAATGAAACGATAACATTCTCACCAGATTTTATTGGCAAGTAATAAGAGAAAAATAATTTAGTAATGTGAATACACTCGTTTATACGTCTAGGCATCGACAAAATGAGATGATCGATGTAGGGTGGTGGCACCTCATTCCAAGCAACTCGTACTTCGTGCATGGGCTGTGGCGGATGATGCAAAGTAGATAGTCTCCTCCCCATCATATCGCACACATGTTCGATGGGATTTAAATCCATCGAACCGGTGGCTACGATAAAACATTAACGCCTGCTTCTTGAAGAAAGTCTTGCCTTGAACAAAGAGAAGGGGTGATCGGTTATCATAGGCAATGGCCCCCCAAACCATTACTCCAACAGTCCTGTGTACATGGCTGTCAACAGAATCGCGATTTTGGGCGTGCTTTTTTGGGTGATGGAGACCCTTTATGAATCCACTGCTTGTACTCTGTTTTTGTCTCAGGATCACAATGATGACCAAAGTCTCGTCGCCCGTCATAATTTGTGGCAAAAAGTCGGATTCGTTGGTCAAACTTTTCAAATGACTCTGAGATTTCCAAGCTGCACAATTTTCGTTTAGGTGTCACCAGTCGTGGAGTCCACCTGGCTGACACTTTGCTCATGTTCAAATTGTGGTGTAGGATGCTGGTTACGCTAGGTTCCGGCATATTCATAGGTAGAGACCTTCACACGACGATCTTCCCAACAACACGACCAGTTCGAGCCGGTGTTCTTCAGGGCGCGGTTATAGGACCAATCCTTTATTCGCTTTTCATCCATGATGTTCCTTGCCCCAGCAACTATGAAGTCTACCTCTAAGCTGACGACACTGCACTTGTCGCCCAGTCGTGTACTGCTGATCTGGTTCACGATGGGTTGCAGAGTGCGGTGGACGAAGTACTAGAGTGGGCGGAACGGTGGCTGATTAAAATGAATCATTCGAAAACGCAGGCTATTTATTGTACCAAAAAACGTCGCGGCCCCCAGCATAGGTTTCTGTAGACGGCAATCGTGTACCATGGACAAATTCTGCCTCGGTGTCACCCTTGATAAAGGCATGACCTGGCAGAAAGATACAGCAGCCTTGAAAACAAAATTCTAAATTGCGTTTCGGCAACTATATACTTTGTTATGTAGATCCTCCAAATTGAGTTTGATAAACAAAGTTCGCGTATATAAAATGATTATTAGACCAGCCATTACTTATGCATGTGCCGCTTGGTGTTTTCTTGCCAAGACTTTGCGAACAATTTGCAACGCTTCATGGTATGTATCAAACGAGACGACTACACAGAGACGTTGACATTCCTTACTTGAGGGATAATGTCAAGCTTCAAGCGCAGCGACGTTATAGACAAGCGGAATCGCACAGCAACACTGCATTCAAGGCCACGGCTCGCACTGTGTTCAAAAATTAGCGCGAACTTTTAGTAAACTTAAAATTACACTCTAACAAAACCGAATCAAACTTTGTGTAGTTCACCTCAAAATTAATCCGTGTACCAAGTCAAAAAGCCTACAAGTTTTCCCTCTTAAACTAAATACTTATGATTTTCTTTGCTATTCACCTTTTTTCTTCTGTTTCCCTTTCTCTTTTTCCTTGTCATTGTCTGGCTTCTGGGCAACCAGGACTGACAGATTCGACTAACGTACATTAGACAGTGAATAATGGGCAAAGGTCCTACGGACCGCCCAGACAAACAATTGACGAATAGTACGACGAGTTTCGAAAACGACGGCTTCAACTTTTTGATCATTTGTTGCTGTTTTGGGACCTCCACTTCCGAGATCGTCTTCTATGGATTCACGTCTTCATCGAGACTGTTTCGACCAAAATTTTATTGTTTTTGGCTGATGGCCCTCTTTTGTCAGAAATTTTATGATACAGGGTACTCTAAATTTGAGTTACTCATTTGTCATTAAAAATGACCGTTATAAGTTGGAAACTGTTTATCAAAATCAACTAAACATTTTCAAGTAATTACGCTTGTGCGTTTCAATTGTCTTTTTCATGTCTAGGTAGATTTCTTTTCTGGTTTTTCTCATAGTTGCTGAGACGCATTTGTATAGTATGTCTACAGGGTCCGTCAGAAAGAACGCATGTTTTTCGAATGGGTACTATATCGAGTGGGCTGGCCCCGTGTCGGTGGGGAAGGGCGTGTTGGAGAGTGGGAGAAGTGCCGTTTCAGTTGGCAAGATGGTTTGGAACGTTGAGCATCGTGTGTTCACCGTACGTCGGTACGCCATATGGCTGACATAGTTTTTAGAACGTAAATTTTGTTTCACTCAAAAAATGGCATGTATTTCCGAGTATTTTGATATAATAAAATATTTTTCCATACTCATTTTGACTGTACCACTCATTTAAAAAACATGCGTTCTTTCTGCCGGACCCTGTAGAAGAGACATAAGTTAAGCTGCAATTACGTATCTCCTGCCTGCCTCAAAAACGCTCAATTCAAATTCAAATGTGTGCTTTTGAATGGCACCTGGACAAATAGATTGTAGAAAGATATAATTCCAACAATTACAAAGTCTGTCGCAAAGGACAAAGAAAAAAATGAACAAACCGGTTTTGTTTCGGAAAATCGCATTTATTACATTCAAAATAGTCTCTTTCAGATTTAATACAGCGATCTGCACGGAACAAAATATTTTCAAGTGATGAATTTAGATCATCGTCGATGCCTTTTGGATGGCCCTTACGTCGGCATACCGCTGTCCCTTCATCGCCAAATGTAGTTTACAGAACAGAAAATAGCCACACGGTGCCATATCAGGAGAATATGGTGGTTAAAATGCAATTTTTTGTCAAAAAATCGGACACAAGCAACGATCGATGAGATGGTGCGTCATCGTGCAACAAGCACCACCTTCCTTCTTCGCGATATTCTGGCCGAACACGACGAATACGCGACAGCAAACGCCTCATAACAGCGAGATAAAACAGCATTAACTGTTTGGCCCGGTGGAACGAATTACAGCAGACGTTCGATAACGTAAACACGGGATAATGAAAACTTGCGCTAATGTAAACACAAACTTCGTTCTATAGGATCAAACGGAACGCGCGATAACGTAAACAATGTGTACGCTCGATAACGTAAACAACTCTCGGCGCACGGAAACAGCGCGACGGTAAAATGCTGAAGCCTCGATGATTTATGTCGGGCGTCGGGAAGTCCCCGATTTATGATGTAGAGTGTAGGGGATAAAATACGACACACTCGGTCAGTCGTATGATCGTTTAGGATACGTTTATACGTACGTATGTATTTCATTTTTGAACTTAAGTGAATACATTGCACGCGTTAATGTATTTTACGACTATGGCATCCACATCCTATAAAAGAAAGTGTTTCAGGTTGAGTGAGAAAGTGAAAATCATAGACGAAGTTGCACTAGGTGCGGGAGTGACACAGTTAGCAAAAAAATATGGAGTATCGAAAGCAACAATCTGTAAAATTAAGCGTATGAAAACTCAAATTTTACAAAGAACGTGCAATACATTTGGAGGTCCGGGAAAAAGAAAAACTTTAAAAAATGCGAAGGCACCTAAAATGGAAAATTCCCTGTATAAGTGGTTTTTAAAATAATGGGAAAATCATGTCCCAGTTAGTGGCGAAGTACTTAAACAGAGAGCGAGACTGTTTAATGAAAAACTGAAAGAAACTGAAAATTTCGTAGCTAGTGATGGCTGGCTACAACGCAATGATTCAAAACAAGATATGGAATTCGACTGCTGTCTATATCTGGTGAAAAATTATCAGCACAACCACAATTAGTGCAACCATTCAAAGAAAAGTTGATGAAAACAATTATCGAGCTAGATTTAAGAATGGAACAAGTTTACAACGCAGATGAAAGTGGCATTTGAAAAATCTGCCCCGGGAAGAAAGCCGAAGAAACAACGAATAACGTTTCTAGCCTGCACTAATGCTAATGGTTCACACAAAATAAAGCCACTGTTAATTGGGAAAGCAAAAAATCCGCGCTCATTTAAAAATGTTAATATCCCTGTTAATTATGACTGTTCACAAACCGCTTGGATGACTAGCAGTATATTCCTGAAATGGTTCCACAGGTGCTTTGTCCCTCAGGTATGACAATCAATTATCACAAATGCTCTATTCATAATTTGAAGATGTGTTTTCAATTTGTAGGTAAAAGGTTTCCTAAAACAACAGAAGCTTACAATAAAAGTGTTGTTACTATTGGATAATGCACCAAGTCATCCTTCCGAGCAACAACTGAGGAGCAGGGATCGGTCAATGTTCGTCATGTACTCATGTACATGCCGCCCAACGTAACACCGTTGGACCAGAATATAATAAGACTCACCAAACTATACTATAGGAAGTTTCTACTTTCGTCTGTCTTATCAAAGAATGAACTTAACCAGCAAACTATTCAAAAATGTTGGAACAATCTCTTTTGTACCAATAATGAAGATGATGAAGAAGACGATGTCCCCTTAAGCGTAATTAGAGAACGTTTGCGATCCAATAATGATAATGTTATTAGTGTGTCATTGGATGGTGTTGATTTATTGAAAACAGTGAATCTCAACATTGTTTGTACTCCTGCTGATATTAATTTATGGAACGAAGATAAGCAGACGAATGATGCTGATAAGGAGGAGGATATGGACAGTGGATATGATGAGAACGATCCCATTGAAGTCAGAAGTGTAGTGACGGACGCGCAAGCTATACAAGTTTTTAACCAAGCTTTAGATTGGGCTGAAAGAAAAGAAGTTTCATACACGGATATTTTAGTTCTTCGTAAATTACGGGCGCAGGCATTGGAAGACAATGCTAAGCGCAAATTTACGCAGACAAAAATTGTTAATTATTTTTCTTCTAATTAAAAAATACTTATCGCTGTTAGAATATTGGTTTATTTTGTTATAAATAGTATGTATTAAACGTTTCTTTTAATAAATCAAATATTATATAAATCACGTTCGCTAATGTAAACATTTCGATAATGTGAACCACACTTGGATTAAATTAGTTTACATTATCGAGCGTCTGCTGTATTTAATTCCATTTCTATGTTACTCAACGAAGGTTTTGGATCATTTTTGATAAATTCACGCACTTTTTCGACTGTGTCTGACGCAAACACAAATTTTGGCTGGCCAAGATGTTCGTCGTCTTCCAGCGACTCATGACCCTCTTTGAACCGTGTAAACCACTCGTGAACGCGGCTGCGAGATAAACAATCATCACATACAGTTGCATCAACATCTGATGCGTTTCAGTAAATGCTTCACCAAGTTTATTGCTCATTTTTCGATCGATGCTAAAAAAGTATTGTCACTTTAAGCGCGATAACTCCGCGTGAAGTCAATAGATTGTCACGAGATGTTGACAGGGCATCATTGAAAGATATACCTATCCTCCGCTAATAGACTTCGCTACTTGTATAGGATGTCTTTCAAAAGTCCTGTTTACTTCGCGACAGACCTTGTATGTATACCTTCACATTGCGGATCTTACCTTTGCTTTCGGTTTGCTTCTGTATCAAATTTCTTTGTAACGAACCAATGGACTCCTTCAGGTCACATATTTCGTTCCTCCTGTCTTCTAACCGTTTTATCTCATCGCTCTTTTCTTGTATGCTGTTCTGTATTCCATTCAATTCAATTTGCCTTGCTTCAAATTTGGCTCGGCATTTTTCAACTTCGTCCTTTATTATTCTTCGGGTTTCGACCTTTCTTTGAAAACCCTGCTATACATAAAACATGTGATGTTGGGTCCTTTGGCGTAGCGACTATGGAGACTACAGTTGCACTACTACAGATTTTTTATACCCGAGACGTTTCCACTAATTGTGTTAGAATAAGACTAAAACTGACTATACGGTTTCATCTTGAATGCATCCTAGTCTAACAAGGACAAAAAATTATGTTTTTCTAATCTAAGAATTATGATACTTTCACAGAATTCATCAATGAACCAATAAATATCAACAATCTATATCAGAATTGAATTTAATAAGAATCCAGTGTGAATCTCTCAAAAAAGATTCTAAATGAATGTTTTAGTATAATTGCACAGAACATGTATTGATGAATCATTAAAAATTAAAGTCTTCCACCATTACTCCTGTGCAACAAGGGCTAATATACAGGGTGTTAGGGAAATGATATTCGTAACTTTAAGAGGTAGTAGTAGTAGTAGTAGAAAGATTTATTTAGCACATTTGGCTACATAAACAGAATAATTGTAAACAACTTAGAACTAGTAAATTCAAGCCATATGGTGTATGATGTAAATGCTGGGCAACCTATAATTGTAGATTTAACAAGTGATTTCTCAATTTTACTTTAAATTTTGTCAAAGTTTTCTGGTCTTTTATCTCCGAGTATAATTTATTATATTCAATCAACCCTTGATGGAATACAGATTTGTAGCATATGTTATACTTTTTGGTCATTAAATGGAAGTCATCTTTATTTCTGGTATTATGTAAATGATGGTCGACATTTGATGATGTTAAATTAGTTAGACTTGATGGAAATATATTATTATTTACTTTATAAATGAATATCATTACAAGATATTTGATAAATTTTTTTACATTGAGCCATTTTAATTTGCTAAGCATTTGCCTAATTGGAGTATATTTATCTTTATTTAGTATTATTCTCATGCACTTATTTTGTAAAATTTGCAGTCTTTCAAAAATGGAATTATTTGCTAAATATAGAATAGTCGAACAGTACAAGAAATTTGGAAGAATGATGGTATTATAGATAATTTTTCTGCTATATGAACTCAGATATCCAGAAACTCTCGATAAATATCCCACTTTACTACTAATTTTAATTATAACTTTTTCATAATGAATATCAAAAATTAATCGAGAGTCAACAAAAACCCCCAGGTATTTAAAATTTTGTACGAATTCAATATCTTCACCATCAATATTCAGTTGAACATTTGTACATTGTTTTTTTCCGATTAACAAGGCTTTCGTTTTACTTGCATGTAATTTTAGCCTGTCAGATGCTAACCATTTTGAGACAAGCTTCAAGTCTTCATTTATATAAGAGATACCAGACTGAATATTTTTAGTACTTATATAAATCATAGTGTCATCGGCGAAAATCTGAATTTTGCATTTTTTGACTATGGCAGGTAAATCATTTATGTATAAAATAAAAAGAAGTGGTCCCAGCATACTGCCCTGTGGAACACACAACAACGTATTTTCAAATTTGGATGAAATAGTGTCATTAACTTTTGTAACTTGCATCCTTTTAGACAAATAATTTCTAAACCAATCTAAAACACTTCCTGTTATACCACATGCCTTCAATTTACCAACAAAATATCTCTATCAATCCTTTCAAATGCCCTCTTCAAATCCAAAAATACTGCTATGACAACTTCTTCTGAGTCTATGGCTCTTCTCCAATTCTCAGTTACCAACTGGAAAGCTGTTTCTGTGGAATATTTTAATCGAAAGCCTGCTTGCGCCTCCACTAAAATTTTGTTTTCTTCTATAAACTGCATTAATTGGTCATGCACTATGGACTCTAATAATTTTTCAATGTCTGGTAACACATTTACTGGTCTCATATCGCTGCATCTTTTAGAATTTTTTATTTTGGGAACTGGTGTTATTGTAGAGCATTTCAAATTTTCAATGGTTATTCCTTGCATTATTCTAAGCAAAAAATGCTGAACTTATTTCTTTTTAGTCATGAAATAAATTAATTTTGCACCTTAATAATTTAAATTCATATGCCTAATAGTGTAAAATGTATCAATACATCTATTTATTAAAGAACGTTTTCCTGATCGAAGGCTACCAACGAGAAGAACATTCGTAGAAGTATCCCAAAGACTTCTGGACACTGGGAGCGTAGTGCCTAATCTAACAAATTTAGAATTTAATTGACGAGGATTCGACACGGAGTACGAGAAGTATTACTCGTCAAGTCGGTGTCTCACACTGGAATGTACATCGGACCCTTAAAGAACAGTTATTGTACCCATATCATGTCCGCAGGGTTCGAGCTCTTTCGCCTGAAGATTTCCACAAAGGTTTTTGGGTAAACACCAAAGAAATCACAATTTTGTAGCGAACGTGTTGTGAACAGATCAGTCTTGTTTTAAAAGTAATGAAATTTGGAATTTTCACAATTTTCATAATTGGGCGGACGAAAATCCCCATGGGCATCTACCCATGGTTCCCATTTTGAACATCTATTGTGATTACTAATACATTTAACTGTAACTTTATGTGATTTACGGATATTGTTTTTTTTTTCTTTTTTCGTGCATCGCATAGTGTCAAATAAGTGACTGATAATAGTGGGAATTGGTGGTATGTATCGTCACGTACCGGTAAGTTCTGTCATTTTTTTTAAGTAAATGTACTGTACTGAAAGCGCTATTAAATAAAAGATATTAGATACAAAAAAATGCGTAAAAGTACTCAATAATTCAAGGCATATTTTCAACAAAAATATCATACAAACATAAACAAGAAAGAAAATTTAATTATCTACGACTCACTTTCCTAGAAAACGATTGATTTTCGGACATATAATGCAAGGAGTCACCTCTTAAAGTTACGAATATTATTTCCCTAAAACCCTGTATGGACCAATCATTGAATTCATTGAAAAAAACAAAATTTTGGCAGAATATCAAGTTGGATTTAGAACAAAATATCCGACAGAAGCAGCAGTCCGAATGGTGGTGGAAGACTGACATCACTATGGTTTTAAAGGATCAGTATTAAACGTTTTATAAAATTATTTAGTAACAAAAGTCGAAGCAATCAAACACTGTTTCAAGATCATCATGAATACATTATTTCAAAAATATCAAAAAAGATAAATTATCCCTATAGAGTTTCCCAATAACTCAGTATGTATTCCAAAAAAACTGTGTATAACAATTTAATTCTCACTAATTTTTTATGTTGTTCAACCATTACAGCAAATAAAAACATTTTCAATATTACAAAAAATTCTACAAAACAAAGCTATGGGAATCATTTTAAATAAAACAAATATAAGATAAGATTTGGTATATCTTAGAAGAACTACGCTGGTTGAATGTAAAAAAATATGTTATATTGTTCACATTTTCATATTCAACTTAAAAAATCATTTATTACCACCAAATTTAGAAAACCTCACAAAATTAAATACAATACAAATTGAATCTATTATATTGAATGATAATATTAAAGTGTTCGAATTAAAAAATGTTTAACGTGAAATTAAAAAATCACTATGAATACCCAAAATGCATAGTGATGTGATTTTAATTTTAATAAGAAAAAATATAAAATAACGGAAAATTGATTCAAAAAAAGTGTAAACGAATAATTGCACAAAATTGACATTGTAGTATTAATGCTAAATAACGCTTCACCAAACAAACATTGACGTTACCACGTTTCACGTACGCCTTGAAGAAATTCCACGTCAAATCGTTTTTATCACATATTGAAGCACTAATTAAAACTAGATTTAAATATCCAAAATTTTGGCACAAATAACTATTAACTATACAATACTCTACCTTAATTTTTTGTTTTCTATTCTTGATGTCCTTTCTCACGAAGTCTATATATTTATTATATTTCACGGCAGCGAAGATCTCATCAAATTTTTCCTTGAGTTTCTTCGGTTCATCTAAAGGCCAGTAACTGTTCTCTTGATGACAGAATAAGACGTTGTTCAGTATGGATTTGGAAACGCCTAGAGAGTTGCAACAGAAGTTATCGGCATCCACGCATCTATTGGAAAGGCAAAAAACATTTTTGAAGTTGTTTACATTATTTACGAACAGATAATAATCATAATGCGTTTTATTTTCGGGTTAAAAGTACAAACAAACAAAAACTCATTTGATGAGGGGGGCAGCATTCAACACCGTAGCTCTTCCATGCAACCCCAATAAATTATATATAAATATTAAAATAATGGTCAAAATCCGCAAAAAGAAGGAAAGTGGATTCGAGCAGAAAATAGGATAGGTAACCCGAGCGATACGTAGTTCTGCTGGTTGGCTTCATCAGGCTCGAAATGAATGCACATATGTAACTACAAAAGTAGATATACATGGCCACACATCCGGATACGGGTGTAACCTGAGGAAACGAAGATGGAGAGGAAAAAAAATCACACACGACAAGAGCCAACCTACACTTAGCAGTATAAAATGGCTAGAAGACCTCGAATTTTCAAGGCGAAATCTAACCACAACCACGCGGCCGGTTATAGCCACTTGTTGTGGTACTTCAAGCCCAAAGGATCTACAAAGAGAAAATGATCATGCGGAGAAAGGTATATAACAAAAAAATTTTGTCCTATTTTTTGTTATATACCTTTCTCCGCATGATCATTTTCTATATATATATATAAAACTTGAGACGTGGTCATTGTCGTTTAGACCAGTTAGGTGGCAAATAAAGCTTCCGCCTTTTGTTGGGTACTTCGACAAAATTCAAGTCAAGAGGACTCTTTATACTTTATTATCTCTAGCTTTCAATGGACTTTGCCATCTTCATCAGGAGCTGCAATAACACTGAGAAGAAATAGCAACTATATACCATTTCGACCGATCCAGCGATTTGGATAATGTTCATTCAAATACTGAATGACGCCTCTAAAAATGTGTGGTGGTGCCCCGTCATGAAGAAACCACAAATTCTGTCTCCGTTGTAATGAAAGATCGACGCGCTGTTGTCATGTGTGTTTTAAATATTTAATTTAATGAAACTTACTGACTACAAATTTTGGCTTAACTTAGAAAAACTTAATGCCATTTATTTGTTAATTACCCAATTTAAAAACGCTTTAGATTAGATTATAAAACTTAGTAAGATTGTGGTGTTTGTGGTCGATATAAAGCACTTTAAGTTTTAAACTATAAAGTCCTTTAGACAAAAATCTATTGACTTTTGGACCATGGGCCATATAAACTTTTTGACTTGTTTTGACCCTCCTATTACCCCTGTATATAAACCTATATAATGTTAAGAACACTGATAAAATGTCAACCTGTGACTAAATAGGCTGGTGTGCAAATAGTTCATTTCGCGCTTGCTACAAGTGAGCATGAACGACTGATAGTTCCAAGTTGACGACTTGTAGGAAAACCTACGTAATGTCATAAAAAACTTACATAATAAAAAAAACCGTCATAATGGATGTTTTTGTAAGGGGTTGAGCAACATTTAATTTTTTATAAATACGTACCTGCCCGATATATCATTTGTCTCTCCATCAGGTGCATGTTTTCTTATATTCACATCCAAGCTCCTGAACTGCATCTTTCCGTCATCTTTTTTCTGAACCTGCATGAACCTGGATACCGTGATGACGTTGCCGATATTGTCCGTGTACTTTAATTTAACGTTACCTATGGAGTAGAACCATAAATCCTACGAATTCGGACTAAATGGAAGGAGATAGCAAGAACGATGGTATTACAAATAATTTTTCTACTATATGAACTCAGAAACCAGAAACTCTTGATAAATATCCCACTTTACTACTAATCTTGTTTATAATTTTCTCATAATAAACAGGTATTTAAAATTTTCAGCGAATTCACCATCAATATTTAGTTGAACATTTGTACATGTTTTTTTTTTCAATTAACATAGCATTCGTTTTACTTGCATTTTAATTTGAATGGGTGATCAATTACTAAAATTTTTAATATACAGTGCTGACTTACCTTTAGTAACATGCGTCATGTCACGATCGTTCAAGAATCCCTGGCCATTGTTAATCCCTGCAGGTATTTCTCCGGTAAGCGCATATTGGATGCACTCTATGATGGTAGTTTTACCGGAACAATTTTCCCCTAAGAATAATGTCACTGGAGTGCTGAACAGCACTTTCTGATTCTCTTCGGGGCTGAACAATCGGACACCGCATATCGTTAGAGCGTTGAGATGCGACATTTTGAGCTGCAATGAATAAAAACGGTACAATGGTAAAATATGGTAAACATGGGTTGCTGATTATGTTTAGGTGGTAGGAAGACTAAGGGCCGTGTATCGTCAGTCGTTCCTACAATTGTAGGACGCTTTTATGGCCTCCTTGATTTTGATAGTTTGCTACTGTTCCGTGTCAGCGCTCTAGTTTGAGGTTATGTCACGCATATCTGTTTGCATTAAATTGTTCATGCTTTTGATTTATCTCGTCTGTTTTATCAGCCGGAAATTTTATGCAATTCAAAAAGAAAACATAACTTCACAATAGGAGAGCGCTGACGCTGACACGGAATAGGTGGAATCTAGAAATAGCCCAGCCTTTCTGAAGCAGACAAAAGTCTACGAGCCCCTTCCCACTTGAGTTGGCCCACTTCAAGATTTGTACCAAAATATGCCTTTATGAACTAAACATGACGAAACTATTTACTTCTAAAACAATTTATTTTCTCAAAAACTTTTTAGATACACTCTAGTCGTAAAAAATACATATTTGAAATCACTTAGACCTATAACTAATAGAACATCTGAACAAATAAACAATGTGCGAAGTGTTACAATCATTCTATTGGCAACTAGCTATGAGAGAAATTATTATCTACTTTTTAGTTTGTGCTGAGCATAATCCTTCATGAACTGATAACGGCATTGCGTGTGAAGTGCAGAGTCAACCTATTTGACGTCAGTTTTTTAATTTACCAAATTGTACGCTTCAATACGATACGTAGATTTCCAATTTCCAAGATATAGTCCATACCCTATAACAGCGAGTTGTGGGCTTAGAACACGATGAGTAACAGTTGTTTGAATTTTCCTTCCTTATCATCATACCTCCTGACCGGTGCAGAAACCTTGAAATTCAGCTATATGCTCAGGGAAGAATAAACTCGCGCGGATGTAATATTGCGCTGGGACACAAACATGTACATTTTTTCAAAAAGATTCAAGGTTATCCAAGGTATTCGACTAGACAACAAAGTTGCTTTTTTGATACATACCTATAATTTTTTACATATTTGGATAGATTCGTATATTATTGAGTTTTGTCGAGTAGCTGTTGAGATAATAATTATGGATTTTGTCTAAAGAATCAAGTATGGCAAACAGCGCCCTGACACCTTCAATAGATAAAGTAATGAGTTTTCTCTTATGCAGGGTGCTTCAGAAAGGCGTGTTAATATTTCAAGGGTAAAAAGTTAATCTAAAAATAACAAAAAAGTTCCTATAAATATGGGTCCAAAGATGCTCCCCTACCGAGATACAGTATGATGAAGTTCTATTTACGAAATTTAAAAAAGTATGTATACTGAGCGGATAAATATACCGAGTTAGCCTTTCAGCTAGCACATGATCAGCAATAAATACACAGTTTCCCGGCTCAACCTAAACCAGGGACGTGTAAGCTGGAGTACCTAAACACCTAGTGGGGAATATGTTCTACGCCTTTGGCCTTTCTGGAGAACAGAAGTGCAATTTAAAGAATGACATTCAATTTTCTATAAATTTTGTCTTTTAAGGAATTTTTGTTAGATTACTCGTTTTGGAGATAATTAGGTCTGAATATTTGCAGCTATTCTATTGAAGTTAAAATCTGGGGAATATCTGTAAATGTAGTAAAATATGTTTTGTTGAAATTGACTGTGAAAATCTTTTCCGAAAAAAAAATTAAAAATCTATTATAATTTTGTTTTTTAAAAAAGCTATATCTTTGTCTGAATAAATAATTGCTGTATTGTCTGCGAAACCAATAATTTCTCCGTCGTTTTGTAACTCAAAAAGCTGCCAAACTTTCACTTAGTGCACTGTTAACGTTCACACATTATTTCCGGTCTAGTAAAGAACTTTTTATGAGTTGCTAAGTGTCTCCACAAAATCCTAAAATTTTCAAGGTGTTTGATAACTTTTGATGCGTAATGCTATCCAATGCTTTGACCAAGTCTGTTGGTTTATTACTACCAACGTATTTGTAAATTTCGGTTGTTAAGTGAAGAAGTACATCCTGAGTTGACTTTACTTCCTGGAGTCCGTATTGCTGTTGAGATATCAGGTTGTACTTTGCAATAACATTAAAATCGTTTTTTAATAATGTTTTCGAACATTTTTGAAAAGTTTTTCAATATCTACTGAAATGGGGCCATAATTACGAGATTTCTGTTTATCTCCAGATTCAAAAAAACCTTGAGCCCATGACCACAGGTCGAAAGCCCTAAAATGTCCCTGCAGCGTCTTTCCAGTAAGTGAATTCATTAATTCTTTGTAAATGACCAAAATAAGAAGTCTGGCGATTCCTAAACGTGTTTTCGACTTTGTATTGTCTATCTAGGCTCGAGCCGGGTTTTATCGAATTTTTGTTACTAAGAGGCAAATTTTAAAAACTGTTAAAACATACTTTGTGTGGCCTTAAGAAACAATTAAGGTACGGAGGATCTCGACATCCTATACACTTTTTCTGGCATTAGTGTGGTAGGTTTAAGTGTTTAACTGTACCGTAAATGTCCGAAAAAATATGCACTACATATAAGCGTTTCCAGGCGTAGCAGCTGTATTTTTGTTATAGAATTTCCTTCCATGAATAGCGGCGCAGCAAGTGCATTTGAGGTTTTGCGAGACTGTGTAGTTTTAACTGATTTTCATTATATACATCAATAGTATACATTTATTTCATTGAAATCATTTGTATTTACCACATAATAAGGACATTAGTGTGTTTCATTTACATTTTACCTTTAAAATGGCGCCTACTAGGTAACTCAAAACCCTGGCTGTTTTAATCGAAACATGAACATAACTGTTAAAAAGTCAAAATTTACGAATTTCTTAATCATCCGTACCCTAATCATTTTTGAGTACACTACAAAGTATGTTCCAATAACTTTTTTAATTTTTCTCGCAATCATAAGAATTCGAGAAAACCCTCTAAATATTTTTTGAGATGATAGTAACAAATTCCTTTCCAAACTTAATAATCACTTTTATCACCTTACGCTTGATTAAGTAGGAAAAAATATACAATCTAGAAGTACAAGTCAGGAATAATTTTGAAATTGATTAGATAACATTTTCTGGAAAACGTTTTTCTTACCTTATCCGTACACGTACACACTGTTCAAATATCATGTGACACAGCCTTACTTTTACTTATTATTCTACTTACCATCTTCAAAAAATTATTCCGCTTCTCTGGCATTGGCGTAGTCATAAAATGTGCAAAACATCAGAAACCATAGGGTTGCAGATATCATAGTTATTTAGGGGTATTTTTTGAAAATTTTCCTTTTTTTAAAACTTCACCACCTTGAGCGTATTTTCCTAGCGGCACCAATTCAGCTGATAGATTCATAAGTTATTAAGACCACCCTCTGTTCAAAACAATGGACGATCTGACAAAACATTCTTGATTTGAATTTACTCAAAAAACATATATGTATAACATATGCTTCAAAAAGACAGTAAGCTGTAATGAAGTTTCCTTATGTTTACAGTGATCGCTCTTGATACTCTCCCTCTACAGAATGTTAAAATCAGACGTAAGAAGTTATTTTAATAAAAAATTAGACTTGTGGGTGTTTCGCCACCTAAAGAAAAAATAATAATGGACGAAATAAAACCTGGTTGGAAAAAGTAGATATTTGTAGAAATTGCACGGGATGAACTGAATATGGGCCAGTTTGAAGAAAATGAAAGCTGAAAATCTTGGCTCGATAATAAAACCCAAACCCCCAAAATAAGAAATTTGACGGACTTAAATGCCACGGTCTAGACAACTTGTGGTTTTTAATGCTTTTTTATACTTTTAAGTTAAACTTTCGTTACGTTTACAAACTTTAATAAAATCAGCAGAAGGTTAGATATTACGATCACGAAGAATGGTTGTTGCCCTGTATCTTCGAAACGAAGCTCTATACCAGATCTATGCTTATGTAGGGAGATCCAAAAGACCCAGAATGGCAAAGTTTTTCAGGATATTCAAGGGGCATAATAAAAGAAAAATGATGTATGTGTAAATGGTGTATTTTTCCTAGGCTTTTTAGTGGTTACCTTGAATTTGAGGTCGAGCATGACCAAATCAAATTCACGACGATTTTGTTTGCTTTGATAATGTCCTTAGTTTTATATTATCCTTGTCTTGACTCGATGAATCGGTGTGGAATGCAAAAAATGCAAAACAACTGCTGTATAGGTTTGTATATAGTCTTCGAAAATATAGTTGTGTGTTCTCTAAGATCAAGGAGTTGAAATGGCAATTTGAATGTAATCTTAAAGTATTTGTGGATTTGTACATAGTAAATTGATAACTAGAGGAACCATTAATCTTAGAGATCTGAGGCATAATAATAATCTTACACTGCCTTTGCACTATACCGTATTATCTCCAAAATGTTTTACCTTCAATGCAGTGAATTTGCACAACCCAACCGGCCCTCCCTGGAGAAGCAAAATTGTGAGATTCAGGAAGCTGGTTAAAAATCAGCTGTTAGATCTGTTGTGATTAGTTATGATATTGCCTTTACGTTTTTTTTTTTTGTACTTTCATCCATTCATTATTAGTTCTCATCTAGTTCCTTTTTGGTAAGCCAACATAGCGTGGATTTATCAGTTGAATCTGTTTTTTTTATTAGTTCACGCACTTGAATATCAAATCGATGTACTTATTTTTATATCCTATCCATAGTCCATTTACGCTCCGGCACAACAAAGATGCAGCGCGGCAAAGCGGCAGCCGCCTAAGCGTTGCAATAGCTATTGGTAATTCGGCCATAAAACTAGGAACAAGTGCAGAATTCGACAGGATAGAACTCAGTACTCGGGATATCGCCGGCACGCCGACGCCGGCAGTTGCTCTTCATATTATTAGCCTGTGTTTATACGTTAGCGTGTCATCTACGGACAAAGCAAATGAAACTGAGAATATTTCTCTTAATGCTTCCTTCAGCCATGTTTACTCTTCAGTTGTATCTCCTCCCCGAAAACGTGACAAGAAGGGACATTTGAATATTCAGGCAAAAGAAATTGTCCTTAACGTTTATGAGAGCGAAATTTTAGAGCATCCTTAAAGTATTAAAAGACGTGTGGCAAATAAAACAGGCTTATGTCGTAAGAAAATGTTCAACATTGCTATAGAATATAAAAAAAAAACAAAAAAATGTGTCCATCACACAAGAGGCTGCATTACACGAAGCTGTTGGATACAGTTGATAACTTTGATTGCTTGATGGCATTCGCCATCGCATGCTATGCGCATTTGAGTCAAACAAAACAACAGACTACCATGAATAAATGGACGGGTGTTCATTTGAACGATGGTTTGAAGAAACGATCCCAAAGCTTGACGACAATGCCATCATTGTACTTGATAATGACACTAGAAAACTAGAAAAAATTCCCACAATGTCCACAAGAAAGGCAGAAATTCAACAATGACTTCTATCAAACGACATTAGTTTCAATGAAAATATGGTCAAAGCAGAACTTATCCATCTACTCAGGCAGCACAAATATAAATATAATCTTAATAGTATTGACGAAATGGCTAAAAACCAAAATAAGACCGTTTTAAGGCTGCCCCCTTATCACTGCGAATTAAGTCCCATTGAAATGATTTTGGTAAATACACCTATAAAAAACTGTGTGGTTTCAAACAATAGAACATTCAAATTTTCTGACGTGAAAAAATTGTTTTATGAAGCTGTCAACAGAGTGACGGCAAACCATTGGAAAGATCGCATTCCTCACATTCAAGGGACAATCGAAGATGCGGGATCTGGACAACATGATCGATATTCAAATTGAATCTGTAATAATTAATATTAACCATTCGGATGATGATTCAAGTACTTCCAGCGAATAGAGAATTGTGTGAAGTATGTGCACTTGTTTCTATAAAAATAATCATTTATTTTGTTAGACCATTGAGGAAAATACGGACCTGTACAATCTTGCTTTTGGGCATGCTGTGACCATGGTACGCCGTACGCCCCAGACGATTCCAACATGGTTCCAACGAACCTAAACAATATTCGTAGTTTTTGTCGCATTCCATTCACTGTTTTTGCGCGCCGGATGATGTAAGTGTTACAAAGGAGATGTACGGATATTAAGACTAACTTGGCATTTCTTGGTATAATTTTTAGAAACAAATTAACTAAATAGATCATGGCCATACTTGTTAGTTTTGGGACATGCCGTTACTTCTATAAATGGGACTTGTTCAAGGGCGTATCCCCCTTTTCCCTAACTGGTTAAAAATTTAATGCAGCGAACATTTTTTACAAAAATTATATTACTCAATCAGCTGAATCAATATTCGATGAGCAATTATTAAGTTAGGTGTCTTTCAAGTTCGAACCTTCGCCTTTGGGATTTCTGCATAACATTATGAATCAATAATTACTGACATCCAGGCTACACGGTCAATAAATATCACATCTCATGATAAGTATATTGACGGATCACAGTAAATACTGATCTTCTGATTTACCTAAATGACGGGGAGTACCTTTGGGCAAGTGGGGTAGCAACATAAAAAATGGAACGTGGACAGTGGAGTATTTCCGAATTTAGACTATGTCGATTTTATCATTTACTGACTTTAGACCGGAACAAGCCTTTTCAAACGTCCACATTGTCTACATATTTCAAACAAATTACACAGTATCAATCACACTAACTTTTTCTCTTCTACGCGGTGGCATAATTAGTATTTTGATCCGCCGTTCCAGCTCTCAGTTTTTTGAAATTATACCGTTTTTGATGTCTTCATTATTACCCTTAAATCATATAAATGAGTTACGTGACGTTGTTCCTCGTTCCAGTTTGAACCAACTATATGAAGCTATAGGCACTTGAAGTTTTATATCAAAGCGTACCACGTTATCATCTTTGATTCTATGAAATAAATGACTATATGATAATTTCAAGGCTTGCTCAATAAATTTTTTTATTATAATTTATGAAATGCTATATTTGAAATCAGAGGTGGCATACATAAGAAAAATCAAAGTTGAGACGGGGAATAAAAGACGAAAAGTCATACTAATGTTCTATATGCCTCCTTGCAGATGCAGAGATGAAAAAGTGGCAATGTCAATGTGCAGTTTATTTTGACATCCTATCTCAAATAAATTCAGAAAAATTAGAAACGATTTTGGGAAAATTCGTTTCTCTCTCCGTGTATGTCTGGGATACTGGATGCTTATCTTTGGTGCACAGTCGATTGCAAGGATTCCTTTCACTATCTGGGAAGTGACCCACGTGCATAAGACCGTAGGGCGGCTCCTCTTGTCGCTCAACAGCAACTGGTTTTGGGCAATCACAGCATTTTACAGAGCCTTTCACACTATTCCAGTAACACACTGTTTATGATTATGAAAATGGAAAAGCAAGATAAGTTTAAGATGCCACATTAACCAAAAACTAGTGCCACGACTTAACTTGTGTTTGAATCTTTATGGTGACTATGTTAAAAAATGAAAGAATGTTCATATTTTAGTTTGCGTTACAGTTCATATTCTTATTTAATTCTTACTTAACAAATACCCTCGTATAAACCGTTACTTTAATAAATATGCTACTTTTCTTTTGAGTTAATAACTGTGGCATGCTGGCAGGTTATAGATTTTCGATTGTACAAATGAACCCAGAATTGTAGAACGACTTGAACCCAGGTAGTCAGGGTGGGAAATGTGGTGTCTCAGAAAAGGGAACTCTCCATCGGAGTACCTACCACAGGGCTCAGTATTGGCTCCTATTTTACATTAATGACTTGCCTTTGGCAAGCATAGATGCTGCTTTCAGCCTTTTGCAGACGACACCAATATCTCCCTTACTGCAGGTTATTTGGATGGATCCATATTGGGAATGTAAACCGTACAGTCGGATGTTAAGATTTGGTGCGAAGCGACTGGATTTCTACTGAATCAAAGCAAAACCCAACAGTTGTTGTGTAAATATGAATACATCATCTGCAAAATTCCGGAGGAGTACCTACGTCCACCCGTATCTTAATGTCCACATAAACCATGTGGCGAAAAAACTTGGGTCTGCATTGTATGCGTTAAGACGCCTAGAGGAATGCGTGAGTACATCGGTGATGAAAACCGCTTATTATGCATTATTTCATTCCATCATGTCATACGCTTTACTAATCTGGGAATGTGCGGCGCAATCACATCGTGTATCTGGCATTCGGGGGAAGGCCTTCCGGATAATTAAGGGCTGTTTGTAGCTAGGCTTCTAGAGACCTAGAGATTTTAACGTTGCCCTCCCAATACATCATCAACTGCCTTCTCCACAAAAAGAACAACTTCACTATGTTCAGGATTCACAGTGATGTTCACGAACACGATACCAGGTTCAAAAGTAATCTAATGCCAGAGTAATTACGTCTAACGAGGTGTCAGACGTCTCCAGAGTACCAGGGCATACAATTGTTTAATCATCTGCCGAAAAGCATCAGTCAACAAATTTAAAGAAAATCTAAAAAGCATCTTAATGTCTGGTGCTTTCTATAGTACGTATGAATCTCTCTGGCATACATTTTAAAACTGTCATTTTTTTGAAGAATGTAGGCTTTCCCGGCTAATTTTAATGTCATTTAGGTTTTTCGGGCTGGTGAGCCGTGTCGCATCAAAATTGAAGAAATAATTCCAATGAAAATGGAAACAAAATATTAAATTAAATATTCGAACACACCTTCTTCTTGGGTTTGACAGTAAGCTAACTTATTGAAGCAGTCTGTAGGAACATTTTCTGCTGTAACATATTGGCAACGCGGCAGATTGCATGACCTTCTACGTGACTGTTGGTAGGCAATATAGTGATGACCTTTGCTCTTCAGTCAGCTTTTATATCTTTCTAACATGTGTTGATACACACTTCTCGTCCTTCTCTCTGGTACACATTGAACTCAAGCAGTCGGACAAATGTGGTTATCCCTGTATAATCTTAGCTTGATTTGGATGAGTCACTGATCACGCTCCATGCTACACGATTACACTCATCAGGAAATAAACATCATTAATGCAACTCAAATCAACTTTATTTTCATGCATAAAATGTCCTCCACCTAAATGGAGATATGTCAGCAAAAACAATTCACAAAAAGAACTTCCTTCTACTTGTCTCCATTTTATGCCGTCTTCCATCTATGAAGGTGCCTTTCTGCAAAGATTTCAATCGCAACGTAAATCTCGGCCCGAGCTCCATCAATCTTGCTCTCTTGCCATCACCGTCGAAACCGTACCTAAAAAGGGAATTGCCTTTATTGTACTTACTAATACACTTCGCGCAAAGTCGGAGCTATTAAGTATTTATGGAAAATAAAAAAATACGCACAAGTTTTATAATGTCAAATCACACTACATGAGACAAATGCGTTTCTAAAATCAGAGACCTGCTGTTCAAATAACAAATCTGGCAGCACGGAAGGTACCATCTATGAGTGAATTGTTGAGCTAAAAAGAGTTCTGCTTATTTATGATAACTGCTATTTTGACCATTACAGGTAACTACTAAAATTTACAGCTCATAGGTCAGAGGCGGAATAATGCAGTTTATTTTCAGAAACGAGCCGTTGTAGGAGAGTGTTTGAGATTATAGAATATAAACATTGCTCCCGAATTTAACAGGTTAAATGGTGTAGGTGTTTATGATAGAAGAACTGCTTAACATCTTCAAATAAATTTTATTTCATCAAGTTTTCCAGCGGTTAGACAATTATTATATTTACAGTGATATAGAACAGCAACATTTTTAACTTAGCTTACAAACATTTGGTTCTCAGTTATATTATTTTTCTCTGAAGACAAAAAACAATGCGCGATACGAATTCACACAACATGATATCATTATAACAAAACAATAACAAAATAGTAGGTACATTCAATTTTATTATTGGTTACACTTAGTGAGTTGAGCACACATTTCAATATACATTATGATCTTCGTTTGGAATATACTATTATTGAATTGTTGCTAACTCAAATAAACGGCTTAACAGTTTACATAACATAAAATACAAAGGTAACAAAAAATAGATATGGAAAGAAAACGATAAGATTGAAGGTTGATATGACTTTTACGATCAAACTCTGACAAATATTCACAACCAGCACATTTTATACAATAACTTCTCGCCATATAAACCTTCTTTGGGAGGTCTAAATATTGATGATTGGACATTCAAATTTTCTTCCTATTTCAAAGTTTGAAAATATTCGATTTTGATGCTATATGATTTGTCATTAGGTACTTATAATTGCACTAAATGCTTCAATAGAGTTACTATTTTGAAAAATATAAAAAATATTTTCATTATCAAAATAATAAAACAGAGTTATGCATCCTTTTTTAAAAATAATGTAACTACGCCTTTGAACCAGAATATAAATTCAAGTTATTTTTTTTTTTTTAACATATAATTGGCATTGGAAGTTATCCATTTGCCACAGATGTGTGTTACTTATATTTCTCTAATTATGGACAAACACACGACGTCACAACATCCATGGCGAAGGCGAGATTCGAACTCGCGGCCCGGCCGACCGGCTGATCAGTAGCACGACACTCTGACCAACGCGGCCAACCGAGGCCCCTAAATTCAAGTTAGTAACCTGTAAATATGTCTAAAAAGCAGGTATCACAATTTGACTCATCGTGTACGGTTCACTTATTCACTCATAGATAGCAGCACCCGCTATTGATGAGTGTTGCCAGATTTTTATGGTACCAAAACCTGCTTCATAACTCGCAAGCTTTACCTGTGATATTTGTGTCAAATCAAACACCTGTGGTAGTGAACACAATTCGCAATTAAGTATTTATGGAAAATAAAAAAATACGCACAAGTTTTATAATGTCAAATCACACTATGTGAGACAAATGCGTTTCTAAAATCAGAGACCTGCTGTTCAAATAACAAATCTGGTAGCACGGAAGGTACCATCTATGAGTGAATTGTTGAGCTAAAAAGAGTTCTGCTTATTTATGATAACTGCTATTTTGACCATTACAGGTAACTACTAAAATTTACAGCTCATAGGTCAGAGACGTAATAACACCTACTGATAATAAAAAAAGTCATCTGGTCTGGGAACACTGTTCGTATAATGTCGGCTGGGCTGTGCTTCACACTTTTCGCCTGGTCCTGGTTAATATTTTTGTTGAAGTGTGAATAACAGTGAACTTTTTATAAATTACTCCCCTTTGTAAGGTAAGCTGTCACATTATGAATATCATTTATATGTAGAAACTTAGTTCACAAACTGTTGTTTTTTGCAAGGTTCTCATCAACCAAGATTCGAAATCTCGCACTTTTTTTTGATGCATTCCATTCATTTGAGATAATCCAACATTCAGTATGTGTCTTCAATATGCATATTCCTTCCTCATTTGTATCTTTCTTCTTTTTTGATTTAAGCTACTACCACTTCGACGTTTCCTGTTTAAATTAATTATAAACATAATTCCAGAGTTGATAACAACGCCTGCCCAAAAATACGTTACGATTTAAAATTGACAAAGTTAGCTCACGTTATTTTTTTCATTTGTGTTACATATCATCAATTAGGTTTTTATAAGTTTATACTAGCATTTTAACAAATCTAGGGTTATTTTTTTGATTTTTAAAAGTTGCTTCACATGTAAATCATGTGGCTGAAGAACCGATCGATCGTGCGCGATAGAAAACGTTATAAAGGCAGCAGTGCACAAAATTTGTCATTTCAACGTACAACCACGTCTTTTGGCTTTAAATGTGCGTAAATCAATGCGGTTTTCATGCAGTATCGTTTATTTTATGTGTTTTTATGTGTCATTGAAGTCTAGCCCCCCTTCCCCAAAAACATCCCCAAAGTGGTGAGTAACGCGAAAAAGTTATTATTTCGTGAAAATTATAATGAAAAAATGCGGTTTTTGCGTTAATCGCATAAGACAAACATACCTCAAGTGTCCTTGAGTGGACATGGCATTAACTCGTGGTTTACCTCCAAAAAAATATATAGATATAAAAAATTACTATTTTGAATCAGATCGGAAACCCGTAATTGTTGAAAATCACCTTACGCCCAAAATTTTTTCGCAGATATCTGGTCAACTTAACGTGTTCTAACAGCCCATGGTAGTCGTTTGCTCGAGCGGGGTCCGGAACATACTTTTTCAGGGTTAGGGTGGGTTTACATGGCGTTCGCGCTAAAAAAATTATATTTCAAAAAAAATTGGCTTACGCCCAAAATTTTTTTGTGCGAATCGTGTTTATTTAACATGTTCTAACATCCCACCAAGCCGTTTCCCCCAGGGGGGTCCGGAACACCCCGATCCGCACTTCGATCAGATTTCGAGAAAACACTTGTCATTTTTCAAAATCGCTTTACGCCCAAAATTTTTTCACTGATATCCGGTCAACTTAACGTGTTCTAACAGCCCATGATAGTCGATCGCTCGAGCGGGGTCCGGAACATACTTTTTCAGAGTTAGGGTGAGTTTACATGGCGTTCGCGCTAAAAAAATTATATTTCAAAAAAATTGGCTTACGCCCAAAATTTTTTTGTGCGAATCGTGTTTATTTAACATGTTCTAACATCCCACCAAGCCGTTTCCCACAGGGGGGTCCGGAACACCCCGATCCGCACTTCGATCAGATTTCGAGAAAACACCTGTCATTTTTCAAAATCGCTTTACGCCCAAAATTTTTTCACTGATATCCGGTCAACTTAACGTGTTCTAACAGCCCATGGTAGTCGTTTGCTCGAGCGGGGTCCGGAACATACTTTTTCAGGGTTAGGGTGGGTTTACATGGCGTTCGCGCTAAAAAAATTATATTTCAAAAAAATTGGCATACGCCCAAAATTTTTTTGTGCGAATCGTGTTTATTTAACATGTTCTAACATCCCACCAAGCCGTTTCCCCCAGGGGGGTCCGGAACACCCCGATCCGCACTTCGATCAGAATTCGAAAAAACACCTGTCATTTTTCAAAATCGCTTTACGCCCAAAATTTTTTCACTGATATCCGGTCAACTTAACGTGTTCTAACAGCCCATGATAGTCGATCGCTCGAGCGGGGTCCGGAACATACTTTTTCAAAGTTAGGGTGGGTTTACATGGCGTTCGCGCTAAAAAAATTATATTTCAAAAAAATTGGCTTACTCCCAAAATTTTTTTGTGCGAATCGTGTTTATTTAACATGTTCTAACATTCCACCAAGCCGTTTCCCCCAGGGGGGTCCGGAACACCCCGATCCGCACTTCGATCAGATTTCGAGAAAACACCTGTCATTTTTCAAAATCGCTTTACGCCCAAAATTTTTTCACTGATATCCGGTCAACTTAACGTGTTCTAACAACCCATGATAGTCGATCGCTCGAGCGGGGTCCGGAACATACTTTTTCAGAGTTAGGGTGAGTTTACATGGCGTTCGCGCTAAAAAAATTATATTTCAAAAAAATTGGCTTACGCCCAAAATTTTTCACGGATTTCTGGTCAACATAATGTGTTCTAATAGATCATGATCACCTCAGGCGGACGTGAATGTTATTGAATAAACTATACAATATTGGTTTTGTGTATTTGTAATACAGAATGTAACAATATAGTAAAATAAAAGCGATTTTAATAGGTCTATCCGTGTAAGTCGCAGAATGTACACTTAATCAATATTGAACACGTATTGATTACGGTGAGATGAAATTATCAGTTTCTTTACATGGCCTTATCATTAGCTGAGAGAACCTCATTAGTATGATTATTTTTCAAATCCGTGTATACATATGTTTGTCGACAACCAGGACCAGGTCGCCGATTTAGAATCCCACATCAAAATCTAATACTAATGTAATCACTTTGTGTCCCCAGCAAAGGTACCGGATGCAGGTAGTAAATACGTACCGTTGGGCTGTTTGCAGGAATGTCGGGGTTGTAAGCAAAAAGGATACGTACAGGTATAGGTTGTAAAACAAGGATACATATAGGTAAATTTTTATTGGCATAATTTAGTTGTGTTTGTGTCGTTGGGCATCTCGGGTTACAGTATTTCTTCAAAATACTGCAATGTCTGCAAACGAATTTCGCGAAAAAGTGAGTGTTGCACGTGTGATATGTGATATCGTGAAGTTGGTGGATGAAGTGAACTAGTGCCTAGGCATATCAAGAATTTCATGTGCGAGCATGGTGGCTATTAACGGTTATATTTAATCGAAAATAACAAAAGGTAAGCAGTACCCGGCCGAAATCGACAATTTCACTATTCTATCAACTGAAATAAAAAATGACGGGGAGATCGTTAAAATATGCGTGTTTTTTGGCATTATATTCTTTTAGGCGCAATCGGAACAATTGTGCTATATATATATATATATATATATATATATATATATATATATATGCCAAATGTACTCGACTCAGTATTTCAAATTTTCTGCGTCCGATATTGGTCGGGCTGGTGATGATGTGCAGTTTCAACAAGCAAGGGGTTCAGAGAATAAATAACTGGCTTAAATATCGTAGTGCCCGCGATTACCAACTAGAGGTGATATCTAAAACCGACAAAGAACTGCTCAAAGATGGGCATCCGCAAGACATTTCCCAATTTACCACCTACCACAAAATTGCATCCAAAACAAAACGCGGGAACAGACTGCTGCTCAGTTCGCGGGACTTATCCGATTTGTTTCAATATTGCATTAAGCAGCATAACCAGCTTGACCCTTATTTGCGATATGTCGCTAGCAGTTCTCCTCTATACCGAATGTCAGTTAACATAGTTCCACCTACAGGAGCAATTATACATTTTGAAGCAACAGGGTCTGTTTGCCGCAAACCTCAAAGTTTTAAAAAAAATAATACCTACAGTATCGACCTGAGATGTCATCAGTCGACAATTCCTATTGCCGAACTGATCACATCGCAACAAAACATCTGCTCTATATCTTTGTTTTTTAAAATGTATTGAGTATCGCCTTCAATAAGGTATATAAATGGCCACTGGTGCGGGCGGTGGTCATCCACTGGAGCATTGTACAAAAAAATTGGTCAATTATTAGAAATATAATTTTTTTGTGAGAACGCCACGTAAACCCACCCTAACCCTAAAAAAGTATGTTCCGGACCCCGCTCGAGCGATCGACTATCATGGGCTGTTAGAACACGTTAAGTTGACCGGATATCAGTGAACAAATTTTGGGCGTAAAGCGATTTTGAAAAATGACAGGTGTTTTCTCGAAATCTGATCGAAGTGCGGATCGGGGTGTTCCGGACCCCCCTGGGGGAAACGGCTTGGTGGGATGTTAGAACATGTTAAATAAACACGATTTGCACAAAAAAATTTTGGGCGTAAGCCAATTTTTTTGAAATATTTTTTTTTTAGCGCGAACGCCATGTAAACTCACCCTAACTCTGAAAAAGTATGTTCCGGACCCCGCTCGAGCGATCGACTATCATGGGCTGTTAGAACACCTTAAGTTGACCGGATATCAGTGAAAAAATTTTGGGCGTAAAGCGATTTTGAAAAATGACAGGTGTTTTCTCGAAATCTGATCGAAGTGCGGATCGGGGTGTTCCGGACCCCCCTGGGGGAAACGGCTTGGTGGGATGTTAGAACATGTTAAATAAACACGATTTGCACAAAAAAATTTTGGGCGTAAGCCAATTTTTTTGAAATATAATTTTTTTAGCGCGAACGCCATGTAAACCCACCCTAACTCTGAAAAAGTATGTTCCGGACCCCGCTCGAGCGATCGACTATCATGGGCTGTTAGAACACGTTAAGTTGACCGGATATCAGTGAAAAAATTTTGGGCGTAAAGCGATTTTGAAAAATGACAGGTGTTTTTTCGAATTCTGATCGAAGTGCGGATCGGGGTGTTCCGGACCCCCCTGTGGGAAACGGCTTGGTGGGATGTTAGAACATGTTAAATAAACACGATTCGCACAAAAAAATTTTGGGCGTAAGCCAATTTTTTTGAAATATAATTTTTTTAGCGCGAACGCCATGTAAACCCACCCTAACTCTGAAAAAGTATGTTCCGGACCCCGCTCGAGCGATCGACTAGCATGGGCTGTTAGAACACGTTATGTTGACCGGATATCAGTGAAAAAATTTTGGGCGTAAAGCGATTTTGAAAAATGACAGGTGTTTTCTCGAAATCTGATCGAAGTGCGGATCGGGGTGTTCCGGACCCCCCTGTGGGAAACGGCTTGGTGGGATGTTAGAACATGTTAAATAAACACGATTCGCACAAAAAAATTTTGGGCGTAAGCCAATTTTTTTGAAATATAATTTTTTTAGCGCGAACGCCATGTAAACTCACCCTAACTCTGAAAAAGTATGTTCCGGACCCCGCTCGAGCGATCGACTATCATGGGCTATTAGAACACATTAAGTTGACCGGATATCAGTGAAAAAATTTTGGGCGTAAAGCGATTTTGAAAAATGACAGGTGTTTTCTCGAAATCTGATCGAAGTGCGGATCGGGGTGTTCCGGACCCCCCTGTGGGAAACGGCTTGGTGGGATGTTAGAACATGTTAAATAAACACGATTCGCACAAAAAAATTTTGGGCGTAAGCCAATTTTTTTGAAATATAATTTTTTTAGCGCGAACGCCATGTAAACCCAACCTAACCCTGAAAAAGTATGTTCCGGACCCCGCTCGAGCAAACGACTACCATGGGCTGTTAGAACACGTTAAGTTGACCAGATATCCGCGAAAAAATTTTGGGCGTAAGGTGATTTTCAACAATTACGGGTTTCCGATCTGATTCAAAATAGTAATTTTTTATATCTATATATTTTTTTGGAGGTAAACCACGAGTTAATGCCATGTCCACTCAAGGACACTTGAGGTATGTTTGTCTTATGCGATTAACGCAAAAACCGCATTTTTTCATTATAATTTTCACGAAATAATAACTTTTTCGCGTTACTCACCACTTTGGGGATGTTTTTGGGGAAGGGGGGCTAGACTTCAATGACACATAAAAACACATAAAATAAACGATACTGCATGAAAACCGCATTGATTTACGCACATTTAAAGCCAAAAGACGTGGTTGTACGTTGAAATGACAAATTTTGTGCACACTGCTGCCTTTATAACGTTTTCGATCGCGCACGATCGATCGGTTCTTCAGCCACATTGTAAATCTATAAATATAAGATTTTGAATGTTATAATTTTTATCACATAATCTTCCTATACTAATAGCTTTCCGGAGTTCTTTCTAAAAACCTATTGGACCATTCTTGAACTCAAGCTGTGCCAGTTTGTCTTGCATTAGGTATCTCATATAATCAGGTAGGTACTTACATCTAACTCATCAATTTGTTGTTAAAAGCTGTAATGACTTGTTCAGAGTTGCAACTAGTCACTGTCTTACTCAATTTTCTATCCCAATATCTCATCCAAACCATAAGAAAACCTGTTTGTCATGTTTTAGATGATTTCAGTGTAATCTTATTTTTGGGAAGGTATGCAGTTAATAATTTTTAATATCTGAATTTGGTTCAGACTGATTATTGTGTACCCTTTATTATTTAGCATCTTTTTTGTTATATAATAATAATTTTTAATAGCTTCCTATTACCCTCAATGATAGGACAATTTTTCTTCATTACTCAATTACTTACTTGAATATGTTCTAATTTTACAGAGACCAAAAATTATTGCTAATTGCTATTAGGGCTTCATTAACCAAAATGAACTTTTAAAATCCATCGTCGATAAAAAAAATTGGTGTTTTTTTATATTTACAAAAATACACTTTGCCCTTTGGGCTATTAGCAGCTGGTTCTGTTTACAGTTTGTGAAACATATACGAGCCTCTTCCCACTTCAGTTGGCCCACAAGATTTGTACCAAAATATGCCTTTATAAACTAAACATGACGAAACTATCTACTTCTAAAACAATTTATTTTCTCAAAAACATTTTAGATACACTTTAGTCGTAAAAAATACATATTTGAAATCACTTAGAGCTATAACTAATAGATCATCTGACCATTGGGTAACATCACCTTTATTTTTTATTACAGCTGAAATTCTATGGGGCAAGTTTTGGTAAAATTTTGGAGGAAAACAATCCCATATTTCTTGAAGCTTTTGTCTCAGTTCAGTGATTGTACGAGCAGAATGTTGTCGTAGAACCTTTTTCATCTCGTGCCACAAAGTTTCAATAGGTGACAGATCTGGACTACTAGAAACCCATTTCAAAAGTAGTACATTATTTTCTTCCATCCATTTTATAGCCTTTTTTGAGGTATGGCACGCTGCACCATCTTGCTGAAACACAAAATCTTGGCCGGATGTCAAACATTGTTCCAACACTGGTAAAAGCAATTCTTCTAAAATTGCCAAATATTTGTTTGTACCCACATTTCCATCAATAAAATGAAGTTTTCCTACTCCTTTTGATGACATACTGCCCCAGACCATAATGGATGCTGGAAATTTCACTTTTCTCTTCAGACAGTCAACATGGAATGCTTCATTTTTTTTGCGAATAACTCTACTGTGACTGTCACCAACACAAACTTCGAATCGGGCCTCATCACTCCATTGTATTGCACACCATTGTTGAGGTGTCCATTGTCTATCTTCTTTAGCCCATCTAAGCCGATTTTTCTTTTGCAGTGGAGTTAATAGTGGCTTTTCTTTGGCCTATAAACAAGTTGTGCAACTTTAGGATTTTTACTTCACTTTTTTTTATCAGAAAACTTACCTTGCAAGTCCTAAATCCCAGTTTGTGGGCCTCTATGAGTTGTGGACCTCGAAATTCTCCTTCCAACAGCGTCACTCCACAGAGCACTTAATTGTAAATAATTGGCATGCCTGTTTTACACGATTATTCTTCTTAATGCTCTTCGGTCTGCATTTGTGATATTACTTTTTTTCACATATTGTGGCTTAATATTAACTGGGCCAGTTACGTTATATCTCCTAACAATATTTCTCACACTGTAACGCGATAAGTCTAACAAAGTTGCAATTTCTGAGTGTGATTTCCCATAAATTTAATTATCAGTAACCGAATTTTCTCACTAATAACCTTTCCTCTACCCATTTTGAAAACCTTAACTACCCAACACTATTTTAAATGTATTCTGACAGCTGTGACTAATAAAAACAATTGTCATGGCTTTTATTTTTCACAGCCACCTATGCGTTATAGACTTATTTTGTATTGAAATGAAAATAGGTTGATATGCTGTAATTGCAACATATGTTATTTTTATGCTGCAAATTTGATTAGGGAGTGACAAAGTTGGTGTTTTCTACCATATATTATCAAAATATTCATTTTTAATATTTTAAACTTATAACACCCTGCTACATTTTTATTATTTGTGTTTGATAAGAAAAAAACTAAGATTTCAATAGTTGGGCCAACTGAAGTGGGAAGGGGCTCGTATATGTCCTTAAGATATTAAGCAATATTATCTATATTGCAGTTTGAGCTTATAATGTCATTAAGGTTATCCCTAATATTGTTGGCTGCTTAACTGACAAATGGCGGTCAAACCAACTCACAAACTTCACACTTTGGCTCCTGTTCACCTAAGATGTGAAATTCATGCATAACCCTTGTGTGGACAGCACTTTGTGTCTTCTATTGGAGGTTACTGCTATCATTGGTCCTAAATTTGACTTCGGCTCCAGCAGCTTCAATTGAGATGCTTGCCATTTCCTGTTCCATCTTGATATTGGCCACTGGCAGTTTCAGGTTTATCAGACCATCTGAAGTTGCAGCCTTTTTAGCATTTTGGTCTGCTAATTTGTTTCCACCAATTCCAGCCTGAGATGGAATCCAAATAAACACAACATGTTCTGAAAAAACTAATAGATAGATTTTGAATTTATCATATAGAAATATATACCTAATATATATATATATATGTATATTTAGGGATTCCTTGTATTCATACTCTGGGCCTACTACCTGATTGTGACAAATTCCAAATCGAGGGTGAAGATCAAGGCAGAGATTTTTTCACAAAAGAAACATAAACCGTTGCAATGATTAAGTGCAGAAATAACTTATACACCTGTAATAATAATCCATTTATATCCCTGTTAAATAGTAGTAGGCACTATAACAAGTCAAACTCAGACAAATTGGTGAACAGAAACATCCACAGTTTAGGAAATAAAAAAATTGTAAATGTAGCTTTAGGGTAAAACTCCTTCAAGCTGTAGAAGTACTTGTGTAATGTTTAGGTCAAAAAATCATTAGCTCTAGTGTTGTAATTATGGTCATCATCTTGCTTCAAAAATATTGATTTGTTTTTATGCACAATAGTATAAAATATTCAGAGATTTAAAGTAATTTCTGCAAGATTGACGCGAATGTAGATTTTCAATACACCTGAGTACATCTTTCTCTAGCAAAAAGACTGTATGTATTGATGAGCTACATCCCCAGCATAAAATGCCATAACATGTTACAGTGATTCCACATGAGGCTCCCAACATAAATGATGGTCAGTGGTTATACCTAACATTCTAAGCGATAGAGAAGATTGAATTGGCAAATTATCATTTAGGTTTTAGGTGAACACTGAAATCAGGGTTATCTCTCAGCAAAAACTTCATGACTTGTGTCATTTCTACATTCAGTATGAATCCATTCATTTGTGCATAGTTTTAAATTACTGGTTTTCATGGTAAAGTCATCATTGCTGACATCAGTTAGTAAATTAGTGTCATCTACCTGATACCACTTTACACTGGGCAGAAATGCATTCAGGTTGTTAGCATACAATAAAAATAGGAAAGGGCTAAGGTCCCTTTGTCTCACTTTTTATCCCATTGAGACATATTGCTATAGTGTATCAAGATATCATCAAAAGAGTTGTGAGGGTAGACCACAAATTCCATACCAATACAGTTAAAACAGCAACAGTTCATGACCTACATAATCAAAAACACAATTCTAAGAAAATGCCGCATATTTGTTGTTTTCTGCCAAGAGCATTAATTAATATTATTTTTAATTTATATAATGCAGTTTCAGTGCTTTTACCATTGACAGAGCCATGTTTATTTTTTGAGATCAGTTCATCTCTATTACAAAAATCAACCAACTGTTTTCATATTGAGGTCGAAAACAGAGAAACTCGGTAGTAAGCCTATACCTCTGTAATTAGCATAATCATTGGGATCATTCCTTTCATGAATTGGAATAACCAAGGCCAATTTAAGACCGCTTGAAAAAGTTCCCCAAATTTATTAGATAAGACAGAGCGGTGCAGATCTCTGAAACACATTTTTTAAGAAATTTATTTTAGATGCCATATCCACTTGAATTAGAATTCTATAGCTGGACAATTAGGTAACCTTACATCATATTCTGATACTGGTGACATGTACAAAGGATTTGGACACATCTATATAATTTCCAGCAAAGTCTAGACGAAATTTTTTATTTGCAATAATGAATCTTCATTGAATTTGGTGAATAGCTCATGAACTAACTTCTACTTCATCATCTGTAATAATAACATTTCTGTTAGGATTTTTCTTTTTTATACTATTAATTACTTGCTTTTCTTTTGTATACTATTAATTACTTGCCACATGCACTTTAACTTGTTACTAGCCTCACAGATTTGCTGATCAATATTATCTCTCTTATTGTGTGTGTGTGACTTTTTCCCCTGTACTGTACAATTTTGTTAAGAATCTACTGATTTCCTTATACTTGTCATTTTTCTCAGCCACAGTATGAAACAATGTGAGATAGTTCCTCAGTGCAATGAGTTCAGGTGGTAATATAGTTTGCATTTTGGTTGTCAGAGATGTTCACCAATCTATAGGGAAAACATAAATTATACATACAACATAAATAGTACATGAGGATGATATGGAAGGTTTCCAAGCTGCATCAACTGATGATTCACAAAATAACTTTTGGCAGAAGTTTTCTGTATTATGAAAAATTTCGAATATAGGAAAAGCATGAGCTTTTTTACACTTTTATGATTAGAATGCTAATGTTTATAGTTTGACAGTAGTGATCACAGATTTTGTACAGATACATTAAAATTTGACTACATATGCACTAAAAAAGCTATCAAGACAGGTACTTGAAGTGCACTATAAAATTGATTCAACAACATCGTATTAGATCCGTCAAAAAAAATTAGGTGACTGCTATTTGTTATAAAATCGGCATTATAATCTCCACCATTAACAACATCATGTCATTATCATTGATAAAATTTAGCAAGCCATCAAACAAAGTTAAAAAACAAACATTTCCACTACAGCGCTTAGAGTTGTATTATTTGAAAACCTATTTTAAGACCTACAAAATTATGAGTCTGGCCTTTTTCACACAATAATCTTGCCTAAGAAATTTTAATCCATTTCTGAAATCAAATCTCTCAAAAATTGTCTTCTAAGGCCAAAAAGGAGATGAGTATACTGCTTCCTTGTGCTGCAACTTGATTCCAACCATATAAAAATAACTCTTATTGGAGCATTTATACAAATCAGATATATACAGGGTGTCCGCAAAGTTGGGGTTTCCTTTTCAGAAATAACCAAGGTAATGTGTAGTGAAACGAGGGCGACCAAGTAAAAAAAAATAAAGGAAAAAGTACTCACTCTCCAGTTGACGAGAAGGGCTAAGTACGTCTCTGCCCGAAATCATACCGCTCCAACAGAAAATGAAATCAGCTGATGCGCTACCGAGCAGACGCAGGCAAACAAGGAAGGCAAAATGTTGCGTAAAAAGTCTAGGTATTGCATCCCGTCCAATCGATTTGGGAGAATAAATGGTCCAATGAGCATACCGTTCACCATGCCAGCCCAAACATTCACCGAAAATGTTTGTTGAAAATGTGCCCGACGGACAGCGTGCGGATTTTCTACTGACCAAATATGAGTGTTGCGAAAGTTATTCACCCCATTACGCGTGAACGTAGATTCGTCTGTCACCAATATGCACTTCAAAAAGTCCGGATTACTGTCATGTTGATGCAACAACCACTCACAAAAACGCACTCTTGCTGGAAAATCGTCAGGTTGAAGGGCTTGTACACGTTGGACGTGAAACGGATACAGCGCCTCTTCACGCAGCGTTTGCCACACTTTAGTTTTTGATACTTGCACTTCTCTAGCCACGTCTCTAGTGCTTGTTGAGGGATTCTCGTCTACGCGATTACCTCTACACGCGTGACCGTAACCGTCGGTTGAAGGTTGCATACTGACCTGACACACTGACCCCGACCCAGTTATGTCGTCGGGTTGAGCTAGTGTCCTAGCACCACTGGGAGATGTCGCGGATACAGGACGGTATTCAGATATTTTTGATGTTGCAGAGCCCTTTATCTCGGTTACCTTAAGACATTGATGTATGTATATGGTACTAAGAAAAATTGCTTATGTTTTCAAGTTCTACACGTCGTGTAAAGGAAACCCCCAACTTTGCGGACGCCCTGTATACAAAACAAAAACAACACTCCAAAAGGCTGAGGATTGGCATTGCTATTTTTAACCGTCGCCTACAGCACAATTCCAAAGCGAATCAGCAAGTTAAAATTTTTTAAATTTTATGTAATCATGAGCTTCAGCTTATGTCATAATTTTATAGTAATGTTCTAAAATTGAGGTACCAACGTCAATACAATAGTAAATCGCTTGTTAATAATCTGTGGGTTTAAAAGCTTGTAACTGGAGCAGCACGTTATTAAATTGATTCAACAAATGAGAAATGACGCTGCATTTTGGCTACAGTGAAGAAATTAGAGTTCAATGTTCATCCCAAAGTTATAATTAACTCTCAAGTATTTGTACTTTATTAGATATTAATAATGATATATGATGATTATGTGAATTTCATTGATTGTATTTCATTATAAAAAACATTTGAAAATTGTTATGACACTAAACTATAAGTTTGTCAAAATATATTCAAAATTATCTACTATATCATTAAAACTTTTAGGTGATCCTAAAGCCGCTTTAGGCTATATTTTGGAGTAAAAAGTTAAAAACAATATGATCGAAGTTACCCAAATTTTGATTTGAATTTATTTGTGGACCAAAAGAGTAAATCTGTTTTTTTAAGATCGTTGTGGTGCACTGTCAATATTTTTTCACATCTTCTCCCAGGATTCAAGGGTTAGTCTGAAGAAAAATTTCGAGACTTTCATATGTTATCCCGGCTTTTTGAGATCATCCTTGAGTCCTCAATTAGCCGTTTATTACTGCCTAAAATGTTATAGATGAGATATTGATCCATTTTTATTTTGACCATTGTTCAGCCCTTAATTCCAGGCTAAAAAGATATGAGAAGTACCAATCGTTTTGGCTGTGGCATCGTGTGCTGCTAACTTTTAAAATAGCAGAACGCAGCATTAAGTTAACAGACGTGAATGCAACGATTCGCCGACGTTGCTGGCCCGCGCAATGCTCCCATGTATGAGCTAGCTCCTAGTAAATTACTAATGCCTTCTACAGTAATATCGCAAACGTCAGAGTGACTGTCAAAATCCAGGTATCATTTTGATTTTTAGGATTATGGCTTCTTCTACTTCCATTGATGGGGATGGGGATACCTTTGGCAGTCTGATTTTTATGAGGAAAAAAGATGGATACCCAGTTCCATTCGACCTAAGACCTGGGCAGGTTACATTTGGCGGAGGAGATAATGCAGATATCCGATTAAAAATTGCGGATGAACGGTTGCGGGACATGCATTGTTTTATTTATATAGATGAAAATGGAGTGGTAAGTTTAATAACGTACATATTTAGAGTTGATCACAAATCACCTATAATGGTGTTTCTATTACTAATTGAAATACAAAAAATACGTCATAGTACAGAGCATAAAAACTACTGAGTTCCAAAAAGAGTAATGTTGACCAAATATGTGAAAACAAGTTTCGATGGTTCTTTATGTGCCGCCAATTATTGTCCTCTTGATGTCAGTGGTGCGCTAAAAGGGTCATCGCGTCGTCTACTGCAAAGTTTTGGCGTCATGCCAGTTATAAAAAACCGTGCATTAAAAATCGTGTTTTGAAAACCAAGTGAACAATTAAATCCTATTGGTATAAGGTTGTCAGCCTATGACAGAGTTCAGTTTCATGAAGCTAGTGGTCGATTCTGATAATGGATGGCACTTTGGGCTGTCTTATTTCAATTATACAATTTGTTTATAAAATATGATAGTGAACAACTTGAAGCAGTTTGAATCAATATATGATCATTAATTTTTAATTTCTAGGCCACACTAGTCAACAAAGCTGGTGATGATACGGTTAAAGTAAATGACGGGCCAGTGAAAAAGATGCATGTGTTATATCATCAAGATGGGTCCTCCCTTTAACTCGAGAACACCGACGTAATCGCCTTGAGTGGTGCAGACAACGGTCACTCTGGGATCAGGAATGGAACTGTATTGTCTTTAGTGACGAGTTTCGATTTTGTTTAGGCATGCACGATGGTCGTGCCAGGGTTAGAAGGCGACGTGGTGAAAGGAGGAATCCACAGTTTTTTGTTGAAAGACATGTTCATCACACTGTTGGAGTTATGGTTTGGGGTGCTATAGCTTATGGTTCCAGGTCACCTTTAATCTTCATCAGAGGTAACATGAACGCGCAGCGTTATATCCACGAAGTTCTAGAACCCCATCTTTTACCCTATCTTGACACCCTGGCAGATCCGACTTTCCAACAAGATAATGCCCGACCACATGTTGCAAGAGTCACAATAGACTTCTTTCAACATAATGATGTCACATTGTTACCATGGCCACCCAGATCTCCCGACTTATCCCCAATTGAGCATGTGTGGGATATGATGGGTAGGAGATTGCTCAATTTGCAACGTCCTCCTCAGACTCTAGAAGCACTTCGAGAGGAGTTGGTGGTTGCCTGGAATGAGATACCACAGGAGGACATTGACCACCTGATCAGAAGCATGCCTAGGCGCGTTGGAGAATGCGTAGCACATCAGGGTGCATCCACACATTATTAAGTCAAAGGGCTTTAAAGCAGTGCAATCATTTTGAAATTTTTATCATTTACTTATTATGCTTCATTAAGTACTTATACAAAATTTTATTAAAATAAAACCATTTAAACTGGGTGTTCGGATTTATATGTCACTTAGTATAGTATTTTTCCCAAAAATTATTGCCAGCTAAATCGCGGAAAATTTTGAGAAACCGCGTTTTCAAGATTCATGGAATGGAAGATGAAAGAAACATGCAGTTCTTTGTCGAACACGGTGTTATTGGCTTATTTTTCGGCATTGGTACAACAACAAAAGTCATCAATAGTGTGGTCGAATTATTAAATGATTAAAAGTATGTTACGATCCAATAATATCGTAGACATTTCAAAATATTTCCAACTAATTACATTTCTGAACCGAAATGGGAGGGGTTACAAGCCCAAGAAAGCTGCGATTTTTATGAGTACACAAATTAGTGATTTTTTAAATAATGCTTTCGATGAAGCTCATTTAATGGCCAAGGTTGTTGTTGTATTTGGGAGTGAAGGAGCTTGTCTAATTTGTGAAGGTAACATTAGATGATATTGAAGATTCAGGAACGTCATACTTAAGGAAAGAATGATGTAAATAGGAGACTGGTAGTTACTGAAAAATATATTAAATTTTACCGAATGTACATAGCCCTTCATTCAGCAGCAGCAAAGGGTCGCCGCCTGTTTACTTTTGATATAAAGGAAATGTCACTTGATTGTATAATAAAATATTCTAAAATTAAATATCTACCTTTGCTTATGCGTTTATACAATATCCGTGAAACGGAAAGCAGAAGCAGGGACGCTTCGAGATATATCCTTTCTCCAAATTTTTAACCCCTACAAAAATGTTTATGAAAACAAAGTTTGGTCTATTTTTATTTTTCCCTTCTTTTGCCCCTAGCTGCGCTGCCACTGCCTGCAACTGCAAAGCTTTTTCGTCCTTGGTGTTATAGTAACCCTGTATAGGAATTTTATCAAAATTGGCATACAAATAAATAGGCAGGCAGACCGATAGATAGACCAACAGAAATGAGAGATATAGTTTTATACATGTCATATGACATGCAAAAAACATATCTCACTTTAAAAATGTTTGCAATTTGCAAGACTTCCTTGTTAGTAGACGTGGGAAATAAATACAGTATCATTACTTTTCTGCCACACCTGATAGGCTGAATATGATATGTTTGCTTTCAGCCTCTGTGCAACCTTCTGTTACAATGTTTATTTCAAGTCATATATACCACTTTTCATTTCGACTGGCTACTAGCCAGCTAAGTACTCCAACGGCTTCATAATTGACTTTTTCAAAATTTCTTACTTATACATCCGAAAAAACTTCAGACACAAGATTTATTTAAAGGGGACACTTGCGCACCTTTTCATGCACTAGGAACTTGGGGCCGTATCGTCAGTCGTTCCTATAATCGTGAGACGCCTTTATGGCCTTCTTCGTTTTCATAGTTTTTTCTCTCCTTCAAAAAGGCTGTAATATTTCTAGATTTCTACTGGTTCGTGTAAGCGCTCTGGTTTGAGATTTTCTTTTTGAATTCCAAGGTACTTCAGGTTGATAAACTTAATTTTTATAACCTGCTTTATGAACCTCAAATTTCTTAAGATTCAAAAAGAAAACATAACCTCACAGTAGGATAGTGCTGACGCTGATACGTCACAGTAGAAATCTAGAAATACCCCAGCCTTTCTGAAGGAGAGAAAAGACTATGAAAATAACAGTATTTTCCAAACTGCTTACTTAAACATCCAACAAAATTTCAACTTTTAAGCACAAAGTTGATTTTAGGTGATACATCGTATAACGTCGGAAAATAAATATTGTTTTAAGCACATGAAACGAATTTTGTTCTGTGCTATCTAAGACAAAAATGCTCAAATCTCAAGCTAAGTATTTTGCACTCTGGAAATTTTTTTCACGTTTCTATAATCGAGAGTCAGCTCCCCCTTGGAATTGGTCATCCGTTTTTACAAAAAACTCATTTTATAAATCACGGATTTTATAAGAGAATAACATGTGACCAGCCCACATAGAATCGCGCTTTTTGGAAACCTCGGATTCGCAAATCACCGTCATCGTGCCAAATGTGACATCTTTATATCACAGCTTAGCGCAAACAATCATAGAAAACTGCAAATATTACTCATGAACAGCGTCCTCAAAAAATATTCGCAGTTAATTTTAGACTGTTATTATTTCCGTCCAGTTTAACAGGTTCAGCGCCAGGACCTCCAGGCTAAAAAATACCGTCGGGCCAATATGTTTTTTTGTTATTTTCTACCAGCTTTATGCATTTTAGACCTATACTGACTAATAAAATTTTGTTTTTATTTGTCAGTTTTTTGAAAAACTGAGCAGACACCGGTGTCTGCCTTGGCCTCACCGGAAAGTAAAACAGATACCAATGTATTCCCGCCTAATCGAACGAAAACCGTACAAGGAAATAATTTAGTATTTCCAGAAACCTTCACAAGTGGATTGAAAGTTGAATGGCAGGTGGCACTGAAAGGAGAAAAACCTGTTCAATATTTTTTTTTCCTTAGTGGATTTTGACATACTAGATTTGATGAAGCTCGCATACAAACTTGGCAGCCAACAGACGACCAAAATTATACATTTTATTGGTTTACTGGGATACATGGGAATTGTAAAAATGAATTGTCTTCGAGATTACTGGTCTAGTAAATGGCTACTGAAAAATGACTTCGCTCGTAATATAATGAGCCGTAATAGATTTGAATTACTGCTAAAAATGCTGCATTTCTCAGACAATAAACTTTGTCCAGATGGAGATCGTCTATACAAACTGCAACCATTACTAGATAAACTCATATCAAATTACAAAATACTCTATACGCCAGGAAAAACATTTTGTATTGACGAGACTATGATACCCTATCAAGGACGATTAGTTTTCAAACAGTCTAACCCTATGGAAACTCATAAATATGGGATAAAAGTGTTCAAGTTGTGTTGCGATAACGGTTATACTTGGAACCTTAGTATTTATGCGAGAAAAGAAAAAGAACAAGCCAAAAACAGAAATTTTTCAGTCTCCTCACATATTGTTATGCCTTTGTCTCAGGAACTTTTGAATAGTGGCAGGATCTGTATCACTGACAATTGGTATACCAGCCTACAACTCGCTCATTTACTTTTGGATAATAACACCCATTGCTTGGGCACCTTGCGGACCAATCGTGCTGGAAATCCCGTCAGTGTTACAAAGAAAAAACTGAAAAAAGGTGAAATCACTGCAAAAGAAAACGAGAGGGGCATCTGTATTCTAGTATAGAGAGACACAAGAGAGCCGTGCTTGTCCTTTCTACTTGTCATACAGATGACACAGTGCAGGTTCAACGGCGTGGACACGTCGACAGCCATAATTGATTACAATCGTGGGAAATCCTCAATTGATATATCTGACCAAACGTCAAGTTACAGTACTGCTCTACGTCGCACAATTCGGTGGTACAAAAAAGTGGCGATTGAGACTATATTAGGTTCATCGATTATAAATCATCATTTTCTCTTCAAACACAATGAGGAGACTGTCATGCCTATAAACGTTTTCTCAAAATTGGACTGTAAAGCTGGCGAGAATAGAAAGTACTGTAGAGGTTGTTATAAAAAAAAACAAGAAGGTATAATTGGGAAGAGTAAGGTAAAAAGAGTTACAACGTTTTTTTCCGTTTGCGAAGGTAATCCGAGATATTGTTTGGACTGCTTCAATATTTTTCATGGAAAGTAGCAATACAGTTTAGATTTCATTTAAGAAATTTTTTAAACTTTACAGGTTAGAATTATTTGTTTTAGATCACTGCAAATGTATCTTTTATTATGACAATAGATGACTACTTACACAACTAAAGGCTTTTTATAACAAAAAAATTAAAACAATTGTTAAAACACAGCTTACAAAAAACCTGATACTAGTATGCTCTCATCATGGGCCATGTCAGACACTGCGTTATATTAAAATACACAAGAGCGTGTCTGCTTGGCCGTGCCAAGCCGATAAAGTTGCGAAGCGAGAGCAGACACTGGTGTATGCCATGGCCCAGTCGGAGAACCTCACAGCAGACACCGGTGTATGCCCTGGCGCTAAACCTGTTAAAAAACTTTGTAGGCCGGCTCGCGGATAATAAGTGTCGCGTGTGATACCAATGTATGTACGAGGTGCTTTCAAATATAACTACAGAGAAAAAAAGGTATTTCGGTAAAAAACTTAGCAGATATCTGAAAGTTTTAAATCAACAATACATAAAAGGATACAGCCAGATGATATACGGTGTTTTTTATAAACAATGGGAAACGCTCAAAATTTAGTATTTTGCTTGTATAATCTTCAAATTAAATTTTGTAGATACTCGCTGGAGGTTTTAGAGCATAAAAAGACCTTCAATTTTTATTGCTAAAAAGCGTTTTTTTTAGCAATATTGAATAAATGTTTATAACTATTGCAATAACAGTTGTAGATGACTTGTAAGCATGAGGGCATAATTGATGTTAGTATAGTATGTATGCTGAATTTCAGCTGAATCGGTTCAATAGTATATTTAAAAAGTTAATTGTTTGTCCCAGAGACGAATTATTTAAGCAACTGTTCGCGGTGCCCTGGCACTTAGGCTTCTGCTTTGGCTGCAGCTGCGCGGTGAAAAAAATGGTACATTACCTTTCTAGACCTAAGTCGTGAATACATGCCCCCCCCCCCCTCTTAAAGGTATTCTTGAAGACGAATCCCGATCAACTCTCTGCCCCTCCCCCTCTTAGACAGATTCCTGAATGAATTCGTGATTTTTATCGTTATTAGAGTTACAAGCAAGTGGATTGTTAAACAATAATTGCCAAAAATTTGAATACGATCAACAACTCTGATGTTGATATGTCTGACCAAGTATTTATTCAATTATCTTGTTTTTATCACTTTGTGTGACAAAACTCAAAATTTCAAACGTTACTATCTTGAGTTTATCAACATTTCACAATATAATGCTTCGAATTTATCTAAAAATGTCTTGGGAACTCAAAATTTTAGGGCCGAATTCAGTTTCTGTTACATTAAATGTATCATCCTGTA